GCAGCTATTCAAAAGTGCAACTGTGCAGCAGCTCTATGGCAAATGCAACGTGCTGGTGAAATAACACAAACTTGTTCTCAAAAATATGGTAGTTAAAGTTGTGGACTTTTTAGTTTTTATTTTCTTTGAATTTAATTCCTGAAGTCAGTGCTTATGATGTAGTGCTCAATATAAAAATTAAGATTAAAGAAAAATCCTCAAGTTATTATGTGATAGTGATGAAAACTTTGAAAACCTGAGTGAAACATGAGGTCTTAAATCAGAAAATGTGAAGATATAATGCTCGCTACTCTTCAAATATTCCATGGCTTTAAGAAAATGTTTTGTGGATCAAAGGTGGGGTTTTGAACATAAAAGGCTGTCTGTACAGTAGGTTTATTAAGCTTGTGCTAAATTTACATCCAGTGCCTCTGAAAACACTCACAGTGAAACTTATTTGTAGATGCAGCATGGATTCTTTCTTGTAAGCTGTGACTGTGGGCAATGAGAGAAGGGCAGAACTGTTCAGTTGATTCACTGGGATGATAGTATTAGACATTAGTTTCAAGCAAGGCCAAGTTTGCTTGTGAAAGCTTAATACCGTTAAAGTGAAAATACTGCAGTTTCTGAATAAGGTTATTTCTTTAATTTTGCCTCTTCTGTCTCTTCCCCTACTCCCGTTATGTTTTTTCTCTTTCAGTATGGTCAAACTATACTATAAGTATCACATGATCACAGTTTTCTTACTATAAAGATGACTTAAACCATTATAGCTGCTATTATCTGTGGACAAAAGTGAGATTTTAAACACACAAACAAACCCCTTTATATGAACATGTTAGGTACTTACGAGTATCTCCTGTCTTGCACTGATAAGATGAATTAGCATTCCTGGCTTGCTGTCTCTGTGCTTAATTGTCTTCAAAAAAGGTATGCAAGATCATTTTGAAAGACGCTTTGTGCAATGGAAAGTTTGAAAGGGTAGTTACGATTTGAGTTGGAGAGAGAAGTAAAATTAGATGTAGGCTAAAATTTGAGTTCATAGCAATTGCATAATGACCTGTAATTCTTTAACAGGCCAATTTTATTTGACTTTTCCAGAAAAGTACTCTTGGCTTTCAGAGTGAACTTAGCAATTTTCACATAAAATCAGTTTTGTTAGCCAAAGTCAAAGGTGGTGGCTAAAATTAGAGCTTGGTCTGCAGCTCTAACTATGAACAGGCTGCTGTCTGTCTGTCCATAATTATCCTAAGAGGATTGTGCCAATGTTAATACCAGTTTATTTTTGTTGAAGTATGTGATTTAAAAAAAAATTAATAGCACATTGAAGTTCTGTTTGACAAAATTTTTATTAGGTTTAATTTGCTTTGTGGAACGGGGACTTGGAAATGTCTTGAGTTAAAACATGGTAGCTCTGTATGATGTCAAATTAGAGCTAACTGTATCAACTGATCTTGGCTGTCACGACATATAGAAAGCAGCCTTTCTCTGCGTGTTTGCAGTATGCATTGGTGGAATGCTTAGTCATACACTATTATAAAAGCTTTTGTGTCCAGTCATCTTCAGGATGAAATATACTAGACACTAGTACAGTAATGAAGGCAGTATGCTGACGTGTTATGGTTAATACCATGTATTGTTCCACGTACACCATACAGAAGTGAAATGTGGTGTTGGTTTATTGAGCAGTCTTGCCATGTTCTGTCAGAAATCATGTCAGGAGTTTTGCAAAGGTCACACTTGTCATAGAGCTGCCTAGTGGCAGAAATCTTCTGGCTGTCACTGAGGACGTGTAATAAATGACGTTTTACTAATATATGGAAGTATGCCCATATAAAAGTTAAGGTGCTTTGTCCCCTTGAAGTGTTTCAGTGAGAGAATGCTGCTAATAACTTTGTTTTATCCCTTTAATTCTGCATTGTCTATGTAGTGCCCTACCAGCTCCCCCCCTTGAGTGAATTGATAGTCTGTAAATTGGCCGCAATAAATGAAAGATGCAAAAGGAATAAAACAGAAGATGCAGGGCAAGTCTAACCAAAAGTTGCATAAGCTGCAGAGGGAAATGATATTCTCTTTCCAAAAAAACAAGGTATCGAGTTATAATCACTGGAACTCCATAAATAGCAACAAATTGGTGGGAGAGACAGCAAAGCAGAAACATTTAAGTGGGAGGATATGTGAAGAGTGAAGAGCAGAATAGTGGTGGAGGAGTACTTCTGCAGCGTTGGACTGAAGATGCCTGTCATACCTGGCTCCATTTTAGTGGCCTTGGTTCCTTCACTTTTGCATCAAATCATGAACAGAGCTGTGTGGAGGAAAAAATCAACAATGTCAGCATTGCAGAATTTCTTGAAGAGAACTTCTGAAATGTCTGTAGTTGCGTGGGAAACTGAGAGATTTTTCTTCTTTTTTTTTTCTCATCCTGAAAATGATCTAAGGTATCTTTGGAAGAAAAATAAGGATTTTTGTGGAAAACTCATGGTGCTGTTTTGCTTAAATGTGAGTACCACAGGTGTGACTGGTTCAAGGTATTAATTAACTTTTAGTGTGAGAATCCAGAACGAGGAGGATAGCCAGTGAGGTGGCAGAACCTGGATAGGAAAATAGCACTGGTTTGGAAGCAAGGTGATCTACTGAGTCCCTCCCCAAACCCTTCTATTTAGGCCTTCAGGCCTCCTACAGAAGCATACCGCATAAATTGTTGCAGTAGTGTGGCCTAGATGGAATAATAGTGTTTTTGGCCAAAAACATCAGAATTTACATAAAATACAAGATAATAAAATCATCAAAGAAGGGAGTGATCACTTGAAGAGTACTATGTTTTTGGTTTTTTTTGCTAAACTTAGTTTGAAAAGTCAGTTTAAAAGGCTTTACAGTAGTTACAGTTGCAGTGTATGCTTGTTGGGGGATGGTACTTCTAAGAAAGGTTGGTTGGGGCACCGTCAGGAACAGGAAGAAAACTTTTCTGCCTTTTCCTTGTTAGCTGTCAGTGCACTGTCAGTAGAGCAGATGAGCAGCACAGTGGTATTGCAGAACACTTGCTGACACTGCTTCAGGCTTATCCTTCCCTGGCCTTTATTTACTGCTTTATTATTCTGTTCTTGATCCGAGTCATCCATCACTACACATGCCTGCTTTAACGGTCACTTCCTGCCTTCGTGTGCTTCTGCTGCTGCACCTGTGTTCAAGCAGCTCAGTGCAGAGAGAATCCACAGGACGGCATTGTGGACCTGGCACCATGCTGCAGGCTGCCTCGGCTCGGCCGCTGTTGGGTGACTCCTGCTTCATCAAGTGTCACCGTCTGTCCAGGCTCTGCCGATGAAGCAAGGGGATTATCTCAATGTACTCCAGAAGCATGGGTGGAAGAGCAAAGTTTTGGGAAGGTCTGGGAACCACCATGTACCCCAGAAGTCTTCATGGGATGCGTGAATGTCTAAGAAATAAGTCAGAAGCAGGGTGCTAGGAAAAGGTAATTGGTACATGTTGTCTCCGTGCAGTTCGGTGTATATTCCTTTCTTGGCATCTTCTTCAAGTGTAGATCACTTGTTAAATATATAGTGGGGAACATCTTGTGTTAAGTAGAGATATGAACCTGAACAGAAGAAGAGGTCAAGCGTGGAAACAAATTCCAGTCAGTGACGGACGATCGAGAAGTCCCTTCTCTTGTGCACTCTTCTGTGGAGAGGTGGTGCTTGAGTTCCTTTCAAATATGAGGAGAAAAGCACAGGAGAAAAAAAATACATATATCTTTAAATTCACATTAACATTGGGAAGCGAGTGGCCCAACCCTGCAGTCACTGGTGCTGATCATCACACATTTTGTCATGATCAGAACACAGTCTAATAAACATTGCAGTGTCCAAATTCCGCTTTAAATTTTTGCATTAACATTCTTGCTGTTTTGGTCAATGAGATTTGAGTGGTAATCAAGCAATCTGAAATGGTTTAATCTAGCATTGTAGTTCTTCAGTAAGTGTTGCTCTGTGGAACGTATGTGGAAGAGAGGATTGGCTCCTCCATGGAGCGTAGCGTGTTCCCCAGTCCTTCCACAGGTTACACTCCCAGCTGCAGCTGGGCTCTGCTTATCATTGGGTGGTTCAAAGCCACAGGCTTGGTGCTCCACAGTGAGCTTTGTTTGGCTATATTGTGTATGCTTGTGGTAGGGATTAATAAAAGATTTGGGTTTTTTTCTTGGAAGTCACTGGAAAGCAAAAAAGTGAAATCTATTTTGATTTCACTTGGGATAGATTAGTGGGTGTCAAATATTACACAATACTCAACATACCCACTGCTGTTAATTTGGCTGTTGCAAAGGGATTACCAGATAATGAATCACCGGCCTCTTTAGTCATTTAGAGAGAATTGTGCTGCTTCCTTGCCCTGGTGTTCCTCTTTCTTGCCCAGGACCTTCTTGTGACAGCTCGTCTGTGTGGAAAGCACCACACAGATGTGCAGGCACTGGTTTGACAGCTCTGTGTTGGGCTCCTACCTTGCTAATTGTTTTCTTGGGATTATTTGGTTTGTGCAGAAAGCTTTTTCCAAATCCCCTTTATTACCGAAGTTATTGTTGCCAGCAGGAATAAGATTAAAGGTGCTTAAGTCTGTAGAGTTGTTTCTAATTTGTACGTGTCATTTCAGTGGCATTTTAACAAAACTCCGTCTCTCTCCCCTCTCTGCTCCCCTGTGGTACTGTGCTCGAGTTAGGGCTGAGAAGCCAAGCTATTGGAAGAAACTTCATTTTGTTCCCTAATTATTATGCTGGCACTCGGGAGATAATTTTTCCCTTCATGCACTGCCAATTAATATGCAAATGAGCTGATAAATATTTATACCGAGATTTAAATTATGCAGGGAGCGCTTTCGGTGTACTCTGCAAATGAATTGTTCATGGACTTCAAAGTGCTGGCTGCTGTGCTAACGAGGGGAGATTTGCATAAGGCCCTAATCAGGCGCATACTGATTAAGCTTCATTATGGAAACTGCCAGCTGCAATCTTTGTTTCTATTTTATTACAAAAAGGGGAACTTTTCACGCTTCAGTCGCCTTGACAATGTCAGACACTGCTAGTAGGAGAGACTAAAACTCCACAGAGCAACTGAAGTTTCCCTGTTCAGTTGAAGATTGCTATGGTGTAACTGAAGTTGTATTTCTTCCCCCACCTCCCCGCTCCCTTTCTTGTGCCGTTGAGAGCAGTAGTGTAGATTTGATAGAAATTGCCATTCTCCCTTTCCTTGGACTGTCTGAACCTGTAGAGGATACCACAGCAATGCTGGACTGCAGTGACTACGTTCTAGGTGGGTACCAGCTCAGCTCTTTCTTATAAGCGTTTAATATGGAAATAGAGGGTGTGAGGTTGACTATGCATAGAGGCTTAATCACATATGCAGAGGCAGAGAAGGTGCTTGTAAGGCTGAAGCTCACCAGCGCGTCGGCAGTGAGGAAATGCCTTATATATATGTACTGTATGTATCTATACCAGGGAAATAAGTTGTTTTCTTCTCCCCTTTCCCTCGATCCAGGAGAATTCTTTTCCTCTGCACTGAACGGGCTTGTTGTTAGGCTTAGGAGATACTGATGCAGACCTTACGCTTTTTGGATTTCAATGTGAGAAGCCTTTAGCTTCTAATAAACATTGAGACTTAAGACTTGACTTGCATATCTGTGTGTTTCAAATTTTAAAACATGAAAATGAGTGAGAGAGTCGCAGTCTCCAAGAATTTACTGGCTGTATCGAGCCGTTCCCCAACAGAGCGTATATTATGTCTGTGTATTTTTAATGTAATAGCGAGGTTCTTCGTGCGTAATAGAAAATAAGGTGGAGTCCACAGCGGTTGCCATTGATACCGTTGCAAGCTGTGCCTAAGGTTACTGGGATAATGTATTTCCTGAGCTGAGATTTCATCAGGACTGCAGAACAGGCATGCCATAATTTCTTCTAAATGTAGTTTTAAGTTACTTACAAGAAACTGATAATCCCAATTTTGCAGGAGATTTTATTTATTTTCAAGGCTCTTTCCCTGGAGCTCAATGTATTGATTTTTTTTTCTATTTTTTTTTTTTTAATGCATTGTATCTGTATATAAAGAATATTTTTTGGATGGTAAATTTTAAAGCAGGCACCTGAATGTTTGTTTCTGAACATGAAATTGGTTTTCTGAAAATGAATTTCTACTCTAAACCTTCAAGTGAGTTCTTGGTATGTTTTCACTCATGTTGAACTTTGTTTTTTTTTTCCATATGTGTCACTGCTGGTTCTGTCGGAGTATTAGGTACTTTCACTTCGGATGAAAGGAAACAATGAGTGATATACTGGTTAAGATTTAGCTTTTTACTAGGTCTGCATAGATTATAATGCTGCAGGCTGGTCCCTTGCCCGCTTCTTCCTTCTGCGTGCCTTCTGAGACATGCTGAGGGGCTGTGGGAGTGCAGCACGGTGCTGCCAGCACGGCAGAGTGCTGCCTGGGTTCGCCTCTGAGAGCTGGATCTCAATCACACACCTGCTGCTTTCGATCCTCCTCCTGCTGAGTGTGCTGCTCGATGAGGTTGGCAGAAGTTGTAACCCAGGGCCTTTATTTAAAACACAGCTAAAGTCTGAAGGGAGGAAAAAGGATGAGGGCGTCAGGACTTTTTTTTAGCTCACTTCATTTGTTTATTCCTTTAACTGAAGTAGAAGTCTTATGAGTATGTATAAACTCTGTGTGTGTGTGTGTGACATAATGAATCTGTAGGCTTAGTATCCTGCAGATATGTCTGTTTTGCTGGTGGCAGTTTTATGCTTCAGATGTGTGTGTCATACCATTTGCAATGGAAATAGCGGCATTGTTCGTGATGCTTTACATGCAGAAGGCCCACAGATTGAGCAAGAATAGTCAGCTGGTGAAATAATGGATGCCATCCTTCGTTCGAATTTGAGCAGTGCTAGAAAGATGTTTTGGCGTCCAACTTACTGATTTTTCACAGTAATGACATTTGAGGTCTCTCGGGGTCAATCCTTACAATGAAATATTTGTCAGGTGGACTCACTTTTGCTACTTGAGTAAACTTCATTTATCTGTCTAGTATTAGTAAACACTGAAAACCTTTTAAAAAAAAAAAAAAAACAGTTTATTTTACAATACTTTAACAGAAGAAGACTTCTCTTGCCTTACGAAAAGAGTTCTGCTTTTGTCCTGTGAACAAACTGCTTGTTGTGCAAGAAGTTGTTGGGTAGCAGTGCTTGTGGTGTTGTGTGCAAGACAGCAGCCGCCCTGCCCCTAGGTGCAGCTTGATGCCAATATGGGGTATCCTGCCTGCTGGCTCTAATACTTCAGTCTGCAACCAAATAGCCCAGGAGTCCCTCTGTTTTTTCTCTTGGGAAGATCTTTCTGAAGTTCTTGAGCAAGTGGATCCTGTGTTGTTCAGGGGTGATCTCCTAGACTGTGCACTTCAGTGTTATCATGAGCTCAGGCTATCCTGCCCTGGGCTTAAAAATATATCCTACATCCAATAGCTCCGTAAGTTAGCCTGCTTTCACGGCAAGGTGGTGTTGGCTTTGGAGCCCATCTTGCTCATGGTGCTGCTGGACAAGCACTCTTCGTGTTTGTCCAAATGTCCTTCATGTCCAAATAGAAGTCTCCTGCCCAGAGTTCTCGGAAGCCAAGCACATTTCAGTGGCCAGCTGCGTGTGAAGGAGCAGATTAGTGATGTTTATCAAACAAACCTTGCCTGTAATTGCTTCAAACAAATGCGCTGTTACCACAACACTATACTCATTTAAAGTGCATGCGACTACTAAATTAAAACAAACACAAATTGTTTTTGTGCAGACCCACCAGCAGTGAGTGGCACATCAAAATAGCCCGTTTCCTGTGTAGTCTGTGGGAGACGCTTCTCAGTTTGTAGAGCATAAATGTTGCTATCGAAATGTGGAAAATGACCAAAAAAATAAAAAAAAAGCTGAGAAGTTGTTGGTTCTGTTTCTACAGCCTTAATAAAGCTCTGCTCTAGGCTGAACCTTGAAGCAGAGGTGATGAAAGCCAGGGCAGAACCTCAGCCTTTTGCTCAAATGTGGGCTGGAAGCATTCAGCTGGGATGGTTCTCACTTTTTCCCTGTTTCAAAAGGCAGTTTAACATGTTTGCCTTCATGCTGGAAGGAATGTTTATAAGGGAGCATGTCTGAAGCCAATTCAGGTATCTTTTATACTCAGCTGACATTTATAAGGTTTAACCATAGCCATAGGAACTTACTATGAAGAGCTGATAGTTTGGAGAGGTTAAAGTAACTTGACGGGCAGATTCATTTATTACCACCCTCTGGGTTTTCTGGGCCCCACTTGCTTCAAATGAAGCAGTTGTTTACATGGAAAATTACATTAGTTTTAAAAATACTGACATGTCTTAAATCGTGTTTCCTAACTGAGCATTAGAGTTTTTCCTAATGTCTTTTACTGATTCTCTCTTATAAGCTGCATTTCTAACTAGTTCCTTCCTCTTTCAACCCAGTACACCCAGATGAGTTCCATTGCAACTCCTGTTTTCTTTCAAACACTGCTCAAGTGCTCGTTCCTTCCATTTGATTCACACTTGTATTCTTCCTCTGCTGTTGCCCCTGGCTCTGATATCCCAAGGAACACACTGTTTTCCTCTAGGCAGCAGATGGTAGCACATGGCAGTAGTCTGTCTTCTCACCTCCAGCTCTTCTCCTAGGCTGTCGATGGAGGGGCTGGGCATTCTTGGAAACCTGAGGAGGTATATAATAGAGGAGTTAATGCTGTTATTGTATTCCTCTTCAGCTTGTTGGTATTTTGGAGATCACTGCTTTGATGAAAGAAGTAACCTTTTAAGCACCTTGCATGAGAATATCCTGAAGTTCATGTTCATTTCGAGCTCCTTGAGCCTGTGTTTAACTGGTTATGGGAATGAAAGAATGTACTTAAGGATTTGTTTATGCTTCACTTCATGAGCTAGTGTATTTTGAGATTCTTTTTGTAATTTTCGTTTGCATTAATGTGGCACATCAATGAGGCTGGTCACTAGGAATGAGGAGGTAATAAGTTGTAGAGCTGATGCTGTACACAGAACATCTGTCTAGCTTCCTATATAAGGAAGCTATATTCTATGTCTGCCATCTGGGAAGGCTCTGTGTTTGCAGTATTCAGCTGACAAGCTTTCAGATCCAGAGCAGGCTTTTCAATAGGTTCATCTATTGGGAGAAGGAGGAGAAATATATTTCATATTTTGCATGAATGTGTAGGAAATATTAAATTTAATGTTGGTGGCATTTCTGTAAAATAAAAATGTAGTTTTAGATAAATGGCATCTATTCAAACATAATGGCTGAATGTAGTCCTTGGTGGTTAGACTTAGTGTATTTGAATCTTTTCATAGTTGTTCCTTTTCAAATTTTTTTCTTTGTTTCTCTATTTCAGTGTACTGAAAACTAAGTTCTGCTATCCTTGCCTTCCAACATGCTGTTTTTATTCCTCAGCACTATGCTTTTACAAATCAACAATGACATACTAAATGTTAAAATTGTATTTATCTGGAAAACTCAATATTATGCTCTGCTTCTGATGATTCTTTGTGTTATAAAATAAGCTGAATTAGAGTAAATTACATATTGAATTCAAGATGTTCTGTATATCTCTTGGACAAGAAGATATCATTAGGTTTGTGTAGCATTTTTTTTTGTTCATCACTTTACCTTTTTCTTTTTTTTTAATGCAGACTCAAGAATGAACAATCCGTCAGAAACCAGTAAACCATCAATGGAGAGTGGAGATGGGAACACAGGTAAGAAATGATTAATTGATACACAGGTATTTCTATCATCGAATTAAATGGATATGAAAAGCCAAATTTTTTTTGCCAGTTTACAGGAACAACAACAACAAAGTAGAAGAGAACCCCCAAAAACACATGGAATTTCAGAGGCAGAGGAGTTCCTATACTTGCTGTTTTTAGAGACCTGAGAACACTGCATGTCTCTGTACCAAAAACAGGTCATTAGCCATGCTGTATGTAGGGCACTGCTCATACACTTATCAATATGTTTATAAGATTTTCTATTCCTTCTTCTTGTTTGTAATGCTTCTGATATAATGAAAAATCTTGTGGCTCTAGCTCTCCATAAAGTCATCTCATTCTTCCCTGTCAGAATGCATCTTTGACATACCTAGCTCCATTATTTATTTTGAGGCTGTTATTTTCCCTGGCAGATGTGGGCCATTGGCTGATATTGTTTCCATTTCAGACTTCAGTCAAGGCTACAACTGTTCTCAAGAATGAGGAAAAGAAAGAAAGCATCATCATTTCTCAACATCTAAAAAAAAAAAAAAAAAAAAAAAAAACACCAAAAACTGCTAGCAGACTTTACTGTAATTTCTTCATGTGTTAGAATAGGCTTGAAGTTTGATTAGAACAGAGTAGGCTTTGTGTCACAGCTATTGTGTCTTCTGTGCATCATTGAGATGAGACCAATTTATAACCCATTGAAGTTTAAGTCATGCTATCTCATGCCTTAATTCTTTTCTGCAGATAACGTAAGGTTCATTTTAGAAACAAGAATTAACTATTCTGAATAGGCAGTAAATAGTTTAACTGAACTCGGAATGTTCTCTGAGCTCAGGGTAACATTTAGAGAGAAAAAATGAGAAAGAACTACTCGTGTTTAGATGAGTTTTAGTTGCATTGTGTAAGGAAAATGGTTTTCTTCATCTTTATTCAGTAATAAGACTTTCAACTTTGGAATTGTGCTGAAATTAATAATTTACTTTCTTCTACTGTTTCCTCATTCTTTGAGCAGGGCTTTAGTAGAGCTAACAGTGACTGAATGTTCCCAATACTGATCTGAGAGGCTGAATGTTTTCTGTCATAGATGGTGTCAGTCAGAAGGAAATCTGCTCACTTACTGTGTATTCCTGGTTACTGGCATCTCTGTTTCTGTACTTTCAATTGTATTTGTAATAGGGGAGGTATCAATAACTTCTATGTATAAAAAATTATCTATTTAAGTCTTTTTAGCATCGCTTGTAGCTTTATTTCAAAAAATGTACAAGCTGGAGAAATAGTCATAGACAACATCAAGAAAATACTTTTAAATGACCTTTTTCATTTGAATCATCGTATCTGGAGCATGTGTGTAAACATCTGAGAAAATTCAAACTTGCTGCTTTGTATGACTGCAGTTCAGTGTACACTTTCTGAAGAGCCATCCCTGATGCACTGTCTGAAGTACATTTTTAGCTGGCAGCTTTTACCTCAACTGAGCTCTTTCAGAGGAGGGCATAATTCATCTGGAGATAGTCCGTTAGCATAAAAGTGTAAGGTCTGCTTTAACAGAACTCTGGTTTTGCCGCCCTGGGCAAATACTTCATCAGTGTGAAGATGATGGTCATGGTATAAAAAAGGGGTGGATTATAAAGCTCCATGTAGATGATTTCATCACAAATGAAACTACATTGTTTATTTTTTTTATATTACAATGTTAACATTACTTTATAACAAAAGCTTGACTCTTACTGGTATTTGGACCTTTTGCAAATATCACTTCTGTAACTTAAATGTTCCTGGTCATTCATTTCAAATTTACTTCCTGATTTTTTTATTTTTTCATTTGTTCAGACTACAACAATCTAGGAATTTTGAGAGCTCTTTGTTCTCTAGTCATTGCTCTGTTTTCAAACACAGTGCTCATAAACTGCTGGAGGTAGTGATTGACACTTATGACTTTCTTTGGGGGCTCAAGCATCAGTTGCATTAGTCAACAGACAGATGTTAAGCCCTGAAAGAAATAGTCATGGAATGTAATTTAGACTTCTGATCAGTCTGATTAGATTGTGGTTCTTAGTGAAAAGAAGTAAGGATGGTAAGGTACTGGAAGTGCTGCTGATTGATTGTGTAGGGAGCATAGGTTCTGATATTAAATGCAGAAAGTTTTTTATAGATGCTGATGCTCATAACTTTTCATTAATTGTCTTCTTCCCAGTAACGTTTGTAAATCACTTAAGTCTACTGTGTAAGCACTGCTTGTCTGTTTTCTGATCCAGAGTAGATGTTTGGGTCATTCCTGTTTTCAGTGCAGTAAGCTGATGCAGTTTGAAAATTTTGAGAATAATGGAGTTTGTTTGGCAGAGCAAGTGTTTCCAGGAAAAGAAGCAGTTACCATTGGGAAAGGTGGCTTAACGTCAAAAGTTCTGAATTAATAATTTAAGTTCCATGGAAGTTAACAAACTAGATTTAGTGCTTTAATGCAATGTAAGGAACAAAGTAAAGTTCCCTGAAACTGGTCACAATAAAATGCAGATAAAACAGATTTTAACTTCCTTGTGTGCTAATTTGACTCATCTTTTAAGCATCTTAAAAATTAAATCATATTCCAGATGAATAAAAAACAACAAAAGTTTCAATAAGTGCAGCAGTTGCTGGCCGGCTGTTTTCGCAAGAGGATGAATTGATGAACTGTTCTTCAGTATTATAGAATTACACAACTCTTTTTCAGCCTACAGTATGGGGATGAACAGGTCATTTAGTATCTACTGGAAAGAAGAGAGAAAAGGGAAAACTCTACCTTGCAGAAATACCGATAGCCTTCTCTGTTTCCTTTCTGCATGTTACAGCATACAACTTTCCAGAATGTTCTTTTTTCCTTGTTTAATGAGTGTTCTTAAAAGCTCTCTTAAAAGAGAATCTATGGGAAAAGGACCATGAAATGTTTTTGATTTTCTTTTTAACTGCTAGAATTCTGGGCAGATATAACTACTAAACTTTTTATTGATAACACAGACAAGGAAACGCCAATTCCTGGATACTGGGCGTCTGTCACAGGACAGATGGGGGAAAGATGTCAGTGCTGAAAGATGTTTTCTAGAGCACATTGCAGATGCGTGTTCAAGTTAGTTTTGAAGTATTCCTTCTCACTGTTTGTCTTCCTTTCATAAGTATTTTCTCGCACCCTATTCTGCATCTCTCCAGAACTGTAGTCCTTGACTCATCTTGCTTTCTTGAACAGTTTGCAAGGCCCAGACTAAATTCTGATGGCTGTGGTCTTAATATTTTGAAGCATGTTCTCCTGACTGCTGGTGCACTGTTACCTTCTTGCTCCATTTGACCCTGTGTTTATCCTCAGGAAGTGTAATTGGAAGACAGTAAACACTAATCTGAGCTCAGGCTGACGTGGTATTTCACGTTCTGTTCTGTTCCCTGGGGTGGCCCTAAATGAGACGGTTCAGAGATCTGATTTGGCTGAAAAGTGATTGCACTCATTATTAGTCTTCATCCAAACCAGTTCTCTGAAGTAACTAACCACACAGCTGAGTTTGTGCCAGAATTTGGAGATGCTTAAGTTGCACTGGACTTGGGTTATAAGGGTGAAACTACATTTTAGTGCTCGATGTGATCTGACAACTTGCTGGAATGGGAGAGACTTGTTTCCTTGCTGCCACCTCTCTGCCCTCCCCTGCTTTCCATCTGCTGCTTGTCAGACCCTAATCCTAAGTTAGGTTTTCTGTTGGTTCAATGGAATGAATTAACTTGGTCTTACAAGAAAGGGAACAGTTAACGTAAAGGGTTTTCTACTCCATTAGCAACATGAATTCACTTGCTTCTATGTCCATGAACTATGAGAAGGAACAGAACAGTGACAACATGCCTGTATGTAAGAACATAAGAGAGAGAGAAAACTGAGACTTCCCACAACCACTTTTTTGATGTTGGTGAGCTATCAGATCAGTTCTAGCAGTAATGAAGGAGGTGTGATGGAGATGGGAATGACATAAATATTTGTGTTAAAATCTGTTGGTTTGTTGTTTTTGTTTTTTTTTCCATGTAGCTCTTACTTGAGCAAAAGCGGCACTCTGATCCTTTCATGTTCTTACAGTCGATGACCTCCTGATTCTGATAACTCCATTTTCCAGTCTCTTTACCAGATTTCTTGGATTCCACAGAAGTGCTGTTGCATCCTTCTGAGCACCTTAAGAGCAAAACTTGCGAAACTCTCAACTCAAAGTTCATTTTTCCCTGCTGTTCTTCAAAAGATGTAGGCATCCTGTGATAAATGTGAGAAACATTGGCAGCGTTCTTTCCAAAACTAAGGCTGTATCCAAAGGGGAAAGGGACTTCCAGATACCAAAGAAAGCTTAAGATGCAAGTAGAACAGAGTAAACAGGTGGGGTTTAAGGTTTTGGTTTTTTTTTTTTTTTCTTGAAATTGAGATTTGGATGGCATGGGGAGAAGGAGTTGTAGTCCTTTAAGAGTTGTTTTAAGGAAAACGTTGTGTTCTCTTGATACCATTCTAAACTGCTGCTATGAGAGTTATGAATATTTGGAATAAATGAAGATTTGGGGATTAATCTTAGAAGTTGCTTAGCTCAGAATTGTCAACTGTAGGAGGCTTGTTTCAATTCTCCATATCAGAGTTAGCAGAAGCATTAACCAGCGTCTCTATAGATATGTATAGCAGTGCTTTTTTAATATAGTGTCATGATTTGAGGCTCTTTTTGGAAGACAGCCGACAGGAACTGTTTCAACTGTTTAAGGTGAGGTTATCAGCTAGTCCTCTCTGAAAAGGGTAATTTTTTGTGACCTTTGAAAGTTTCTAGTTGGAGGGAGGAATACCTGCCTTACAGTAGTTTTTTTCTTCCTCCCTTTCTACTTGGAGGTTCCTCAGTAAGGTTGAAAATACCTGATGAAAACCATTTGCTTGAATAACGAGGGTTGTAGATCTTTTTTAGACTATAGTATTTGTTTGTCAGGGTTTAATTTTATATGTTTACCCAGTCATCTTCCCACTCCCTTTAGATTTCTGTACTGAGAGGATTCTGCATGTTACTCAAAAGAATGGGAACAGATAGGACTCTTCTAGTTCTTTCCAGCAGGTTGTCTTACCTACTTCTATTTGGTGAAATGTGACCAAGTCACATTCATTCAGGATTAGTTCAGACCAGTGATAGATGCAGTTTGTATTGGAATTTTGGACTCATTATGTAAAATTATTCTACATAGTTTAAAATCTGAATATGTAAAGTGTCTGTGGATCTTTGGCTGCAACTGATGTCTCTAAGTATGTAAATCCTGGCTCAAAGCGTAGAAGTAAAAATAGAGTTGACCATTTTTTCCCTCATACCAGCTCCAGCAAAAAAAACCAACCCACATCACATGGCCACCTTAAGGTACGACTTACATTGTTTCTGGAGAGCTTGCATCTGTGTATCTGTGTCTAGTTGAACAGTGACATAATTTTTAGTAATCTTATCTATGTAAGCTTTTTTATAGATCAAAACAGCAGTATAAAATTATATTAGATATTGGGCAGGGTATTTTTAATGAAATTTTTTGCCTTCTTGCTTTTGCAGATGTTTCTGAGGAATAGCTTCCCTCATTATTTGACATCTGTGATTATTTCTTATTAGATAATGTTGATTTTTGTTGAGAAAAATAATGTAGATGATGGAAGGAGTTCAGAATTATGAATTAAACACCTGTTCATAAGCATCAACAAAATCTGTTGTGAAGATATAAGTTTGCAAGTCTGAAGCTATTTGTACTTCATTGTAGACACAATTTTTAAGATGGCATAATCTGTTCAAGACATTTCTTGCAACCTGACAAACTCAGTGTCTTCCTTATTGTCCTTAGCCACAGTAGGTAGGTAATATGCCAGATACAGACTGGTCATCCCTAAAACTTCATCTACGCATGGAATAATTTTTCAAAGTTTATAGTTAGTTGCTCTTGGCAATAGGAAATTAGTTGACAGTGTAAGGGAAAATAGTTGTTTCTTTTTCTCACATTCAGATTATTTGCAGATATTTTGTGGATTTTTGTGTCTCCTAAGCTCTTTAGGAGGACGACAGCAAAGTTGTAGGAAAACAATCAGGTTGTATTTATATGAAAGTGGATGAGAGCAATAGCAAACACAGTCAGTTATGTTATGTCATGGAAACTCTGCAGAAGTAGTCAAGAAAATTTGGAGGGAGCACTTCTGGACTACAGTTTTACTCTTTGGATTAAAAACTACGTATACGGTACTTTTGTTTTCCTCAAGTATTACTTTTCCCACCATTAATGAGAGATGAGTACATACAAACTTTGTTCTTGTCACTTCCTGAACTTCAAGGTTGTATTCAATTACTGAGTGGAGTGTACACGGGACTGAAATATGTTTTAACTTGAGCAGCTTGCAGTCATTTGATTCTCTACCATGGTTTGAGAATGATGGGGTAGTAGTATACGCATGATAGGTAAGGTGATAGAATTTAACTAAGTTAGCTTAATATTTTCTTTCAGTTGGCAAAAGCTAAATCAACAAAGCCTGGAACTGATGGAACCTTTTTTATCCGTCTCAGTGAAAAAGGAAAAAAAAAAATCTTGTTACCCTTTGGAGTGTTTTTCTATTACATTGTATTGAGAGTTATGCATATTTAAATAATCTTTTCTTTCAGTAGAAATCATAGCTAATAGCCATCATCTCTCTTCCTCTAGGCACACAAACAAATGGCCTGGACTTTCAAAAGCAGCCTGTGCCTGTTGGAGGACCAATCTCTACAGCCCAGGCCCAGGCCTTTCTTGGGCACCTTCATCAGGTAAGAGAAGAGTCATTTCAGAGCAAGGGTGACTCAAACAGGTACAAACACAGCTTCTCTTGTGTGTTCTCTTTCTGTGAATGAGTAGTCATGTAAGAGAACATAATGATAGACCATATGCTCAAGGTGCTTAGGTGGGAACTCCGTGACCTCCAGAGGTCCTTTCTAACGCCTGTGATTCTATGATTCTTATTGTGGCACTCATTTAATTGCACTGTGCTGTAGACTGTATCAGAGTGAGACCTATTAGGAGGAACTTTCAATGCCTCTGTCTTGGAACTTGTGACTGTCTAAAATAATTAAAAATAAAGTTATTGGACATAAATGAAATGCAATGTCAAATTTAATCTTTCTGATAAAGAATAGTGTTAGCCCAGCAGTTGCCAAGATCTTAAAACTGCCAGTACATCGTGATGAAAACAAAAATGATGTTGAAGGATATTCAGCACTGGGCTCTGATCTTTTGAGCTCTTACATATTGACTAGAAATATAAAATCATGGTACTTATTAAGCACATGTACTTCTGTCAGGTGTGGTGTTTTGTGTTTTTTTGTTTGTATTTTTTTCTTACAAGAAGTTGTTTCAGGTACCTATGTGTAGGATGATATTCGGCTTTCTGCTATGATCCCTCTGTTCTGCTGCTTCTGTTTTTAGGGAATCAAAGCTGATCTTCAGATGTAGTCTGAAGTAAAATGGAACATCCCTAAGAGAAGAGAAGCTTGAGCAGTATTTTTGGTAGCTTTTTTTATCTGCTAGCAGTTGAAGTGTGAAAACAAATGTCCTAATTTCTTTCACTTCCTCAGCACCGAGTTTAAACTTTAAAATACTGTAGTTAATTGGCTGACCTTGAGTGCTTGAGGTCTGCTGTAGCACAGTTGTTGTGGTATAATTGACCTACTGAAACTTTTATACCCTATTAAAAGAGATCAGAATTGCCATTTTATTGTATGGAACATTCAACACTTGTCACATAAATTACAATTTTCCTAGTAGATTAGGCTATATGGCGCCTAGGGAGGAATGCCAACATCTGGATTTGCTGAACCTATAGGCTTCTGTAGACTGCCTTTTTGTGTAGAGAAGCTGACTAATTTCCACCGGTTGTCAGTATGTGGAGGCAGATACAGCTGTCCTGAAGAATCTTGTGGGAGCTTTTTAAGTTTGTTTTAAATCCTTTTTTTGTTGGTTGGATTTAGTCTTTGTTTTGTTATATTGGTTGATCCAGGACTGTAATTTTATTTAGCACGGTGCCTTACCTTGCTTGGAAAATGTATTTATTTAAACAGTTCTCAGGACTGTTGTAACTTCACGTTTGATAAAGCAATTAATTTCTTGAAACTCTAGTTCAAAGACAGATCTCAACTATTCTTCTATGCACTTAATGGGTGTGTGGGACACTACTTTTAAATTTCAAGCATGGCTGTTCTTTGTGGGATGTTATTCAGTCTTAGAGTGCTTTCCTCTAGATGAATGCAAAATATTGAATGCTGTCAGGAGAAGTTGAATTCCTACTTAGAAAATGTCTATGGTAGAAAGGGAGTCCAAATTGCATTCAAAGGTAAGTTCAGGTATATTCTTGCTGTACCTGAGTGAGATGCATTCAGTCTTCATTATGTAGTTAGATAAATGATTTGAGTCTATTCTTTTTGACAGTGGGATATTATTGTGTAGTTTTTCTCTGCTTTTACTTCAGAGCTCATCATCAACTGTCAAACTGTGCTTTCGTTATGGTAAGGATGAGTTTTCTATAGAATGTTTGCTTACATAGAGCACATGCTTAGAAGTCTACTAGGACTTCATCCAGGGTGGTAGAAAATACTTCCAAAGTGACGCTTAAGGGTTGCCTGTTGAAATACTTAGTTATTAGTTTAACATTCTTCACTTCAAATTAAAGCTCTTCTTCCTTTGCTTACAGATATCTTTACGCTTTTACACAGTATTTTACGTGGGCACATCTTTTTATAGAGGCCAGCACTGCGTTTTGATTTGGTTTTGTTTTTTTATTCATGTGTTGCCTCGTTTTCAAATGAGCTGTGACTTTCAAACATAGTCAAAGATGGACTATGTTACAGGCTGTTACTCTGACCTTTGAAAGTGTTGGTAATTAATTGCATAGTGTTCCTTCTGTACAATAGGAGTGGTGGTAGAAACAAGGAGAGATTGATTAAAAGAGTCTTTAGTAAACAAAAACTTAGCATTCGTTATACAGAAAAAAATCCTTATTATAGATAAATGACACTATTCAGTGAGGTTTCTGAAACATCAGTTATTTTTCACTGGTAACACACAAGAGCTTATTTGGGCTAGGCTGTTTATCGCAAACACTGGATCCGAGTTTTGAGCATACCTGAATCAATACCACCATTGTAAAGCATTTCCAGTCCTCTATATTAATGTTTTTTTTTCAGTGGCTGAGAACTGCAAGTAGTTGAACATTTTGATCTATGGAAGTGTTCTATGCTGTGGGTTTTGTGCTATGCAGGTGATTGCTTTTTTTTGTTTTTGTTTGTTTGTTTTTTTACAGGGATGCAAGTGAGTTTAATGTGCATACTTGTGTAAGACCCATTCTGAAATATTAGCAGGATGATGAGTAGGGTGTAGCTCCCTCCCCTGAAGTGTGGATATTTGTATAGTAATAGGAGTTGTTAAACTGTCAACCCCAAAGTGCTCTTCTTCTACTCAGTTTCAGTTTAATATTTGGATCCTATGGCAGAAATTCCTTTCCCAAGAGGTGGACAAATAAGACTGAAAGAGTTTCAGTGAGTGAAGCGTTAGAAGGAGAGGTGGTGTTCTTGGGGTAATTTTTTGTTGCAATGGGGTAGTTCCCTCTTACACTTAGTTTCCTGTAGATTCAACATCACTTCTGTTTTTGCACTGTGTTGTAGGTCCAGCTCGCTGGAACAAGTTTACAGGCTGCTGCTCAGTCCTTAAATGTACAGGTAAAAACTGTTTCCATCTGCTGCTTGCCCTCCTCTTATTCTGCTTTCCAGACAGCATTTTGGTTCTGTTAGAGATGGCCTTGAACCTATGAGATGTTGCTTTGTTTCCTCATTTTGATTGGTCTTGCAGGTGATAGGTATAGATATAGTTCCAGAAGTGTAAATGAGGATCAGCATTTGTAAGCATTCAGAAACTGAGATGGTTAAAACATCCAGTGATCATCATTTTATTCTGACTTTGAAGTGTTGTCGTTTATCATGAAGACCATAAAACCCTAGGAATGTTTCATGTTCTTCCACTTAAATTATTTTCAACATAGCAAGTATTACTTTGTCTTTATTTCTAGTGTCTGGATATAGAGGTGTAATATAAGATTAGCTATGTAATGTGGCTAGTATAGATTGCTTGTATAAATAACACATAGTAAATATACTGTAAGTCAGAGTAATTGTTCAATAATGTATGTGAGACAACAAAGCTTACAAACTTACGATGCTAAACGCTTCAGTGTATCAGTTAATGTGCCACTTCCTCTCAGTACTGTATTAAAGGGCAAGGGACATAGTATTATTGAAAACTGGTTTCAGCATTGCTTGTTATTAAAGAACGTAGGTAGTGCATTACATGAAATGCAATAGAATGTGGACCCACTTATACGTAATAACAATCTGGAAAGAAGAGGAGGTATAGTGACCTTCCTTTCTAAGAGGAAGGAGGCAGAAAATTGCCTTGGTTGCCATGGTAAACTTCCATCCCTGAGAGAGATGTTGGCAAACAGGCTGTATCTCCAGTGCAGAATGTTTACAGTCCTGCGCTGTAATTATCGCTCAATGACTGGCAGAATTAATCAGAGCCTTTATGTTAATTAGCCTGCTCTGCAGTCCCCAAAACAGGTGGTGGAAAATATGCAAATCTATGCAGAATTTTAATGTTCTGCATAACCAGTTTTAATTATCATAAAACTCTCTTCCCCCTCTTCATGCACTTGCATTTCCTCCCTCGTGTCTTTGCAATTTCTTCTGTTTAAAAAACAACAAACCATTTAAAATAAAGCGGCGTTTAATTAAATAAACACTAAACTTTGATTATTTCGAAGCATTGTATGCACTATGCATTTTTTTATAAGTGGATAAACCTATGAGAATTTTTCAAACTAGTTCTCTGTCAGCCAACAGTATGATGACTTTGAGGTCCAGTATGCAGATACAGAAAATAGGAAGAGAGAAAGGAGATTGTTTCTATTGTTGAGGATTTTAGGCAATGGATAATTTTAACAACCTTTTCTTTCTTTATGGTGCAAGGTAGTGTCAGCTTCAGTTGCATTGCATGAAGTGAAATAAGATCTGAAAATAATGTTGGAGTCACGAAAGACTCGCGAGTCTCTTTTTGTTTAAACCGCATTACCTACAGACTTGTTTGAGCAATCACAGCTGAGATGGTGGGCACGTAAAGCCATTGCTTAAACCCACTCTTAAAATAAACCCAAGGGCTTTTTGTATGCAGATGAAAGATTTTTATTGTGCAGTGTTCACATAGCAGTGTTGGGCATTAACATCTGTTTTACACTATAAAGAGTTGTATTTTTTTCTGTCCTAGTCTAAATCTAATGAAGAATCTGGGGACTCTCAGCAGCCAAGCCAGCCTTCCCAGCAGCCTTCAGTGCAGGCGGCCATACCCCAGACCCAGCTCATGCTGGCCGGAGGACAGATCACTGGGGTAAGATTTACCTAAGCATACTGTAGCAAGCCTCCTGTCTGGCAGGTGGTAATAGTACTGCTGTCCCTGTAGAATTGTTGGAGAAGGTTACTGTCGTTTCCTTTCACATAGGAGAAAGTTTGTGTGAAAGAGGGACCAAGAGGGAAAATATTTTCTTACGAAAAGGCACCCTTTGGTCTGGTTTTGTTACAAAGTATTTGCATTAAAAAACCCATCTACAGCAAAACTTAAAGCTGGTGTGCCCAAATGAATTGCTGATGACATTACAGCAAGAGTGAAATGAGACATGCAAGCATGAGATTAAATTGTACTGGATACTTGAGTTATGAGGGACAAAAACAATGGAACTGCTGACATTAATTTTCTCTTCTCATACAGATTTCTTTTTAAGTAACGGTGGTGATCTGTGCCTTGAGCTTATTCAACTCCTCTGTTTTAACCTACCAATCCTGAGTTGTTAATCGCAAGGTTTTCTACTGAACTGTGGAATAGCTGTTGCTTAAGCATTACTGATGTTTCTAAATTGTTCTAAACGCCTTTAGTGAAAATAGAAAAGAAAGTTCTGTGAATGGGCTGTTTAGGTTAGTCATCTTGCTTCCGTGTTATCAACTTTCCATCTTTAACAGTGTACGTGTTAATAAGGAATGTAAGACAGTTGTTCCAGTGAAGTATTTAGGATTTGAACTGTTAGGTTAGGTCATCTCTGCAGATGAATGAAATTGTCTCAATTTCATGTTCAATTGTTAAATCTTGTAAGCTAGTTTGCAGCTAACATCCTATTTAGTTCTGGTTAATTTAATTGAAGGTTTTAAAAGTAAGACTGTTTTAATAATATGCTGGGGTTTAATAACTTATTTTTGTCATTCTCAAAACGTATCAGTTTCTTTTATTTTGAGTATTTGCAGTAGTGAAACATAGGACTTCAGGTCTATGCAGATACGGATTGGAGTAAATGTGAGCGTCAAAATTCATTTACATGTAAAGGAGAGACTGCTGCCACCTGTTTCACAGAGATAATGTGTGTTTGGAAAAGGAAAGGGATGTAAACTTGCCAATTCTATTCAATAAAAAAAAAAAAAAAAAGCAGATGGGGAGACTTGGAGAAAAACAAATGGAGCTCATGTTCTTTACTTATATCTTAGGGCATAATGGAAATGATGGAATATGGCAGGGATTCATGCTAATGTGAAGCAGCTGGGGTGTTATCAGTTTGTTCAGTAGCCACAGCCAACATTCCTGCTTCTCATTCATCTGGCTAATCACTTGCTGTTCTTCTGGGTGTAAATTTCCTTTCAAGGCTTGGCGATACAATTCTTTTCTTTTGCTTGCTACTTAATTACCTTTTTCCTGAATCTCCTGGTAGAGTTGAGGAGAAAACTTAGGAGTAAAATTAGATTCTGTGGATTCCAGTAAGTGCAAATGTTTCCATTCATGTGGCTTGGTTTATGTCAGTCCTGTGGTAGGTTGATTCATACAATGTGTTGAGTAGCCAGCTGTCCTTATTTACGGCCAAAGTCATTGACTAGTTCATGGCTAAGCTGTAGTAATAGTTCTAGGAACGTCTGGTTAATATAACTAGTAATGGGCTAGCTAATGACTTTGTAGCTAAAGTGGCTCTTTCCATTATTAATGGCTGTTTTCTAATTATTTATAGCTCACGTTGACGCCAGCCCAGCAACAGTTATTGCTACAACAGGCGCAGGCACAGTTGCTGGCAGCTGCAGTGCAGCATTCAGCCAGTCAGCAGCACAGCGCTGCTGGTGCCACCATCTCGGCCTCTGCTGCAACGCCGATGACGCAGATCCCTCTATCTCAGCCAATACAGATTGCACAGGTGAGGCTTGAGAGGGTGGAAAATGAAGTTTAACAACTTGCATCATTGAAGTAATATTTTTATTCCTTATTCAGTTGAGTGTCCAGAATCTTTGAGGTACTGTTAGTATTTCCTTGTTCATCCCTAGCTCTGAGATTGATAGGTGTAGCTAAGAATATAAACCAGCTGCTTATCAGTTTCATTGAGCTCCTGAGTTAGTTTGAGAATCTGTCCAGATGGGATATTTTCTATGTTTCCTTCCTTGTAGTTAGCTTGAAAGGGAGAAAAATGAGTGTAGAAAGATGCCCATAGAAAATGCCATTGTTGAGACCTATGTATAGGGAGGGACGCCCACAGTATCACAAAAGATATTGCTTGGATCCAAACAACAAAATGAGAGAGCTGAATAAAGGCAACCTGACAGGTTTGTTCGCTGTTTTGACTTGGTGCTTAATGCTGAGAGTACAGTGACAAAGAATTGGCACTCCTGTTTTTCCAGAGAAAGTCTTGCCAGAATGAGTACAGTGTTGGAATCTCTCCAATTTATGGACTGCTGCTAACAACCTGTTTATTCTTTACTCTGAAGAACTGCTTGCCAAGGAAATTTTGTTTAATCTTTCAGTATTGTCTTAATTTAGTTTTGAGAATGCAGTGCCGGTGACTCAAAACTTAGCATGTGTGGTGTTGAAACTCTGTAGACTTCTGGACAAGGGTAACCAAGTATAGATCACAGACATCATGAGTGCTACCTGTAGGTGATTGTGTTGCCAACACTGGAATCCATCTCTTCATAGGCTAAGGTTCTTGGTATGTAATACTGCAGTTTGATTGGTCTAGCTGTGCAAAGTATGTTGGGTACGTAATCTCCAAGGTTACTTCTTACAGTGAGCAGCCTTTTAAGACTGGCTGACACTTCCTATTCAGAATATTTTCTCTTGTATGCAACTGGAGTGAAGTGTCTAAGAAGTGAAGATGAGAGCTGATTAAGTAAAACAATGGAATGTCACAATTATTTGTGAGGTCCACTGTTGAAATGTGCTATTCCTTTATTGCAGTAGTCCTCCAGTGGGGTAAGAGCCTGGTTATATCATCAGTTTTTAATTGACTGAAGTGGACAGGCTCTGTGATGCTGTTCTGAAAGTTCTGACCTCTATGTCCGTCCTTTTAGAGGCCACTGTAGTGCGAAACCAAAAGCCCAAATTCAAAAGCCAGTGCTGATGCCCACTAAGCCTCTTGGTGCACTGTGACACTTGAGTCACATGAACAAATGACTGCATTTAGCAAAGGATTCCAATTCAGTGTCATGATTGGGATGGAGGTGTCTCAAAAATGTAACATTCAAGGGAACTTAATACCCAAGACCATCTCTGTTTTATTAAGCGTTTGTTTGTAGGAAATGAAGGAGTGGAAGAGGAAGTTGATGTCTAGCATCCAGCTGCAATCTGTGCATCTGTCAGAGTTCCTATCTGATATTTATACCTAAACTTAAATGATCCATAGTTGTGCCTCATGTTCTTCACATGTGCAACCTAAGATAATGAGGTCTGCTTTACCAGTATTAAAATTTCATATCAAATCTGTACCTTGACATTTCTGGCTTTACACTTGTTGCAAATATGCCAGCAATGTGGTTGTTACTTCTAGAGGCAATTTTGCGCGTGTGTGAGATGTTGCTATCCTGTTCTTCCACTGTGTTGAGATGCTGTGAAAATAGGTGAAGCATTTATAATTACTAGTTCAGCACTGTGGATTTTTTTCTCCAGAATTTCAAAGTCTTCGGAGAAGGATTTGAGTAGAGTTGCAACAATCAAGCATATGCCATCAAATAGACAATTCACTTTGGAAGATCTGATTTTGTGTGCTTGAATGAGCTAAAGGTTCTCTGGAAACAAATAGCAAGTGATCATGTAGTTGTCACCATATAAAGTGTATTTGTAGTGCAAGTGGAACAAATTAAAAGTTTCACTTGCATACTGAGAGATTCCTAATTTCTTAAACATTAGGTTTAACAGTTCATTTCAGGATAGGCTGTTCCAGTTTATGCGTAGCTTGGTTGATTATTTTGCTTCCTCTTATCATAAAAGTACAGGGTGTAATTTGTGCAGCTGTTGGACATAATTTGTGATGTTTTATGGAAAACTTCCACAGTCTAGGTTTGTAGTTGGATACCACTTTGCTTTTTGACCCATCTCAGCACCTTTCTGTGAGTGGTGCTCAGCTTTGTGTTGCTATTGTAAACACATAACTGATTACACAAATAGCTGAGTGTTTATTTTATTTGATGGTTTTTGAATAATTGATTAACTGGCAGGTCTTTGCAGCAGGGGGATTACCATATTTATTTTAATTAGCTAATTGCACAAGCATGACTTCTTTAATGTGCGCTGCGGTTAATGTAAGGTATCTGCTGCAGAAATCTGGTAAGATGGCAGTACTGCTGCTGTGAGCTGATGTTAAATCATCACTAAGCAATTGTACCAAGTTCTGAGTTCTTTGGAAAATTCTTTGCTTGTTTCCAGAATTTATCAGAGTTTATATGATGTAAACTTCAAAATGGCAGAGATACTTAAGTTTGTGGTGAAGTTCTTACTTAAGATAATGGTATTGAATTTAGAACTTTGGCTTTAAAAAAGTCCTCATATCAAAATGTTCCAGTCTTCTTGGCAGAGATAGGAATTGGATTGCTTTGATCTTTCTAACTTCACGGGAAGCACCAGAAAATTTGTTCCCTCAAAAATCTGTCCCTCTCTTTCTACATATTTGTGAAATTATACAGATTATGATTTAGAAAACAAGGAATAGCCTAGGAAAACTGTGTCGGAGGTTGTTCATGTGGTTGATGTCAGGAGACTTTTTTGTTGTGCTGCAAGAAAATAATAAGTCTTTCCAGAGGTAGAAATAAAGTTGGATTTCAAATGAATTCTAAAGATTGGTAGGGCTATTTGAGTGAATAGCCTTGGAGGTGTAGTTTCTATTCTAAGTTAGATAATTATATTTCTATATTTAAACAAGACTCAGTCAAGATACCATTTACCTAAGCAGATGTAGAGAAAAAGATTACTTATTACCTGGTGTAGGGATCCTGCTTTGGCAGGGGGGTTGGACTCGATGATCTCTGGAGGTCCCTTCCAACCCCTATGATTCTGTGATTCTGTGATTATACCTGTTCTCTTGCCACCTCAGTTTTAAAAGTTTTCTGATATTGAAATGTAAGTGTCTGACAATAAGAGCTACTATGTTTTAACTGGGTACCCTTAAACAAAAAATTCTTCTATTTGACCTTACAAATATGCTGCCGTGTGGTTCTCCAACGTTTTGGCTTGCCTGGTCTTCACTGTGTGAAGAGGAACTGTCTTGGCCTGCATATATGTAGATTGCTCCAAAAGTAATGCCTCCTACTTACTTCCATGGAAATGACAATAGGTACAAAGAGCACAATAACACTGTTTGACCAAGTTCTTAGTGACAAAACTCTGTTTTTTCACATAGTCACCACCATTAGCTCTGCATTTTTTTCCAATTGAACAGGAGCCTGCATGCTGCGCTTGTAAAAGTCTGTACTGGTGGAGGTGACTCACTGTCACTGTTGTCATTGCTGGAATGCACCTCTCACCACCTCACTGTGCTGCCATCCACTGTTCGGTCTTCACAGCCATTCTTTGGGCATTGATGAATGTGATTGGGTGCCATTTTTCTACATGGAAGAATTCAGTTCCACACCTTTGCTTCTTATGCGCTTCCACGTCAGACACTGTTTTGTCAGACTACCCCTTCTTCAGCCACCTGTCATACAGCAAAAACACAGGAAGGTTCAGTCTCTACTGCCATACCACACCAGCATCTGCCTCTGACATTGTGGGCCAACATAATAAAATAGGAGGCATTACTTTTGGGGCAGCCATCATAAAATATAATATAGTCAATGTCTATAAATTACAAAACTTATTTTGATTTTTAATGGTTTTTATTAAAACACACAAGAAAGAGGAACAAAGCCAAGAAAAAAAAAAAACAGTGGAATATGTGACGTTCTCTCAAATTCCTTTATCAACACGGAAAGCATGGCTGCATATTCTTCTCTGTTCACAGGACTGTTTAGCTAGCGTATCAAAATGCATAAGATTATTTGCCATCACTTGAGCAGGCATCGTGCTGTGCCTTGTGCTCTGGTCTCAGCCCCGCTGGGGTTAGCAGCACACTGATGTTCTGTTGGTGCTGAGGGCCCAGGCAGGCTGCTCAGTGGGAAGAGCCACTGCCATGAGGGCCTGGTGTAGCATAGGGTGTGCTGGGGCTGTGCTGGGCTGTATGCGGGGCCGTAGGCTGGACATGCCTGCACTACCATATACCCTGTCCTGGCTTTTTAGTACTCTTGGTTTGTTGGATTTTTTTCGTACCTATTTTTTTTCTCTTGTGGTTTTTCAAATCATTTGAGATAGACCGTGTCATTTGGGAATTTCTAATTAGCTTGTTTTAGGGGAGGAGGCCCACTATCTCTGTCCATACTTTTTTCCTCAAAACTTTCTTCTTAGCTCTGCTATTTGGATTTATACATTTCTTTGTTGTTATTTTCATCTTTTAGCCTCTCCGTTTCTTTTTTTTTCCACCCAAGGTTCTCAGCCGTAGTCACCTTGCCCTACTTGTTCTATTTCTTCTTCTGCATTTAGTCCTCACATCCAGTTCTGCATGAGACCCACTGTTCTGGAGGGTTTGCTCAGTCTGGAAAGGTAACCAGTAGAGAGTAATGAGTATCAATAAATGAGTAGAGGTTTGTGTCACATTGGGCTCAAGAAGTAGGCGATTTTAATAACATGTCTAGCCAATATAGCTTTTAACATGAAGCTGGAAGAAACTTGGAACATTCCTGGAAAAAAAAGGAAGAAGCCTATCTTTTAAGGAAGGAAATTAGCCTCAGTTCTGTAGGAATGGTTGCAGTACCCAAATTTTCCAAAAGCAAACAATACTATCAACTTAAAAACACCCTGTGCCACAGGGCCTTTATTGTTATTTTGCCATTTTCTTCTAAAATAGAGCTTTCCATTGTTTGGTCAGTGCCATCTGGTGTCTGTCTGCCATATTATTATTCAGCGTACTTTTGACTTAACTTGATGAAGTGGCTGATGGCCAGTGCCTTTATAAAAGCAGGTTAAGTAGTCATTTTCTTGTAATGTATGTCTTGAGGTCTCGTGAGTCAGTGGATTCTTTTAACTCCCTAAGCTGCCTTCCTGACATTCCCATCCCACCTCCTCAGAAGATTGTTGGAGCTTTTAAGTCTTAGTTTAACATCTTAAAAATAACATAAGGATCCAGACAGATATATATTGCAAATGGTTGTTTTGTTTGTTATAAAAAGTCATCCTTGACACTGTCATGACTTTTCAACGCTGTCTCTGCTGCTTAGTAGTTAATGACCTTTCATATCTGCTGGCAGAGCAGTATGTGTGAGTGCTTAGTAACCTGCATCAGTCAAAAATGCGTGGTAGCTTACAAGCCTTAAAAAGCAGGTCTTTGTTAGTCTAACTCACTTTCATTTCGCTTTAGAGGTACGTTTAGAGGTATGTTAGCATGAGCAGCTCCATTCATGCAGTCTTACTTGAGTGCTGGTTTAGGAGTGGCCTGGTGTTGTTAGCCTTTGGACATTGGTAGACCTGGCTGAGGCTTCCTTTCAGCAAGCAGATACTTGAGTATCTAAGCAGCTTACCTGAAAGAAAGTTTTGGACAGCTTTTTGATTTTGTTTTAATTGGAACTTGTAAATGTGGGAGATATTTCTGACTTTCATCTACCTGCTTGGCAAGCAGCACACTCCTTGAAATAGCTTCTTCTGGGAAAGTTTTTGTGTGTGTGTGTGTATAATTTATGCAGATCACTGCTGTTCTGTTGGCTAACTTTATATTGTGCTTCAGCTTTCAAATTTCAGTTACTCTTGTTATCTCCTTTTCTGAAGAAGTTTTAAAAGGCTATTTTGGTGTGATTTTTATTTTGTAGTTCTGCTTTTTTATTCTCCAGCTAAACAACAAGTTGAACCATTTTTCTTGATGATTCAGTTTCTCAGAGATCAGCATTTATGTCAAACCAATCAATTATAAAAAAAAAAAAATCAACAGTTGTGAATGGTTTTAATACATAAAAGTAGAGTTCTACAATAGTGCAGTATTTGGGTAGCTATATCTACTGCGCTTACTGTAATTTGATTGAAAACTAATCAAATGTATTTGTTTACTATTTGGGTTAGCTGCTTCCCAAAATTGACCTGAACAACTAGAGTGCAAACAAGGAATCTATATAATTGTTTGCTTTCTTATTACTAATTAAAATGGTACTTGCAGACTTGTTGTAAACAAAAATACATAGGCTGCTCTGAAAGCAATGCCTCCTATTTATTTCTATGGAAAATGTAACAGATACAAAGAGCACAGAAACACTATTTGATAGGGCAAATTCTCAGCAACAAAACACTATTTTCAACAGTCACTACCATTAGCTATGCATTTTTGTCAGTGATAGACAAGAGCCTGTATGCCATGCTCATAAAAATCTGCACCAGTGGAGGTGACCCACTGCCTCTGTCACCACTACTGAAGCCCCACTTCACACCACTGCCTCACATCCACTGTTTGGTCTCCATAAACATTCAACAAGCATCAGTGAATGTCAGTGGGTGCCATTTTTCCATACAGAGAAATTCAGCAACACCCCTCTGCTTCATACGTATTCCCATATCAGACTGCCCCTCTGCTGCTATCTGTCGCATGGCAACAACATGTAATGGGATATTGGTGGGAGGGTTCAACCTCTACTGCCATACCACCAACATCAGCCTCTGGCATTGTGGGCCAACATAATAAAATAGGAGACATTACCTTCAGAGCAGCCCTTGTAGCTCCTAATGAAAATGTGCTGGATTTGTTAACAAATACAACAAATGTTGTAGCAGAAGTTGCATCATTAAACATAAATCCGAAAAATGAAAGTGCTGACAAGTATTTGGAAACCCAGACATTTTGGTTGAGGGGGAGGGGAACTGATTTTTTTTTAAATTAAAGCAGAACAATGTTAGAAATTTTTTGCTGTGTTGTTTGGCAAGCAGTTTTTGTTGGTTTTGTGGGGTTTTTTGTAGGGCAGTGAAATTCACAGTACCTGTCTAAAAGGTATTTTAGTAGCAGGACTGCTATATTTAACATATAGTTTAATTAGGAATCATGGCTGACATAAATGTGTAACAACAGCTCTTTTTCCTTTTTCTTTTTTTTTCCTCTTTTTTTTTTTTTTTTTCCCCTTCCCCTGTTTCCTTAAGGATTTGCAGCACTTGCAGCAGCTTCAGCAGCAGAATCTCAACCTGCAACAGTTTGTGTTGGTGCATCCAACAACCAACTTGCAGCCAGCACAGTTCATCATCTCACAAACACCGCAGGGGCAGCAGGGTAAGTGCTCCTTGCCAGAAAAGAAAATCCTACATAGCTTTTTTTGAGGAAAAAGTGGAACCAGGAAGGTTTATACACCTTCATTATCTATTGATATTCCCTGGGAAAAGTAACAGTATTGAAATTAGGATTCCTATCTAACAGGTTGACCCTTTCTGCGTATTAGATCTCAGCCTCATCAAAGTTTATGTAGCTGACTTCTCAAGGAGAAGCAATCCAGAGATCATGTTATGGGGACATTTAGTAACACGGACTCTTGGGAAATACTGCATCACGAATTTCTGGATGGGTTCTCAAGACAGAAGGAGTGATATCAAGTTTTTACTCTGGTAGATAGTGGTAGGACAAGGGGAAACGGTTTTAAACTAAAAGATGGGAGATTTAGATCAGATGACAGAAAAAAATTTTGCTGAGAGAGAGGTGAGGCATTGGCACAGGATGCCCAAGGAAGCTGTGGATGGTCCTGTCCTTGAAGATGTTCAAGGCCAGTTTGGATGGGACCCTAGGCAACCTGATCTAGTGCCTGATTTAGTGGATGGCAGCCCTGCATGGAGCAAGGTAGGTGGAGCTAGATGATCCTTGAGATCCCTTTTGACCCAAGATGCAAGCCTATGGAATTCTGTGATTCCATGGATTCTCTAATTCTAAGGAAGCCTACTGGGAAGACAACACTCCAGAATTCATAGGCAGAATCCTAAGAGGTGAAAGCCTGGAGATGTATTATGGCTTGCATTTTAAATTCAAATCAAGATAGTGTTAGAAAGTAGTGCCATACTAGTTAAGATATTGCATAGGATCTTCACTCTAAGAACTAATGTTGCAGTACATTACACTACTGATGGCACTCTTTGTTGATGCCTTCAGGCAGCTTGTTTGGTCACGGATAATAGACTCCAGTGCTGATACAATCAAATGGTATTTTCTTCCCTTATTTTCTGCATGAACCTTTAGTTGTTCAGGCCCTCAAATCCAAAGGTTCTTGTTCAGAATGCATATCCTTTACGGCTGAAGAGTCTTCCAGATCCTGACTATCCTATACAGTAGCTCTTTGCACCTTGTTTTCCTTTTTTTTGTGTGTGTGTGTGTGTGCGCACATCATTTCTTCTTAGTATGATTGGAGAACTGGCTTTTCATTATGCTGAAGCTGAATGCACTAACATTTGAATAAAAGATTAGTCAAAATTAACCTTTTTTTTAACAATACTTGATTTAGGAGACTTTATGTCAGCAGTGGTAGAAAACAGCTAAGTGAGGCATTTAGTGATACACTACTTTCTTGAAATGAGGCAGAATTTAAAAGCCTTACATGCAGTTTTTAGAAGACATCAAACTTCACCGAAGTTTTGTTCAAGAAGCTTCATGATTGTTTAAACTTTGGAATACTCCTTTAAGGAAACAACAAGCAAAAAAAACTATTGCTTTGAAAAATTTAGCAATCATTATTCATATCTGCCTACAGTTTGCAGAGTATTTCTCCTGGGTTTTCTAAAATACTTCTGAAGATGCTTCTCAAAGAGTGTTGGAACTATCAGAAGCATATTTCATTCATCTCTCAACATGAGTTTTGTATTATAGAATTGAAGGGAAGGTTTTTGTTTTAAATCTTCTGAAGTAAAATATCTACCAGAAGATGTTTTCACAGTTTATTTTGAGGGAACTGTCCTGAAAGTGATTTCTTTACTACAGTTGAGGCCTGTGTATTGCTGTCATCACTGACGCAGTGTGTGTAGAAACACCATGTTTTACTGGTAATGTGCAGCCTGGACAACTGAATAGTTCAAAAATATAGGAAGATTTATATTCTGTATTCTGACCAGCAGCCTCTAGTGTGTGACAGCTTTCCAAACTGAAATGCTTGAATGGATCTAATTTTCTTCATGAGCACTCAATGATAAAGCAAGATGTATGTCATAATAGTCCTTATCTCACTTTCTAGGTATGACATTCTGCAGTATTTCATAGTTATTGTTAGACAGTCTCGAACAGCATGTTATCATTTATAAGAAAGATTGAGAAAATATGTATTTTTATTTTATCATTTCTGTTGAGCAGACTTCACTTTTTTGTTCTTGTCCTATTGCTCCATTAGTCAACTTCATAAAACAAAAAAAAATTACAGAAACTAACATAGATGTTTCTTTTAGACATTAAACTTTTTTGGATGCCTTATAGGTACTGTGTGCAGCTTCACATATATGCATCCACTTAGTAACTAAAATAGAAGTTCATGTTTATAGATTATCTATTCTGAAAGAAATCTGTTGCTTTATACACTACACTGCATGTTTTGTACACGTCACATAGTTATGTGCATGAGAAACATTATTTTTAGTACATAAGATTAGTAAGATTAAGATTAGATTCCCATCAAGGATGAAGAATAACATCACTAAGCAGGGTCATAGAAGAATATAGAATATGTAAATATTAGGTGGAGAGAAGCATCTCCTGCTTGAAGGTGGAGGCAGAATGACGCAGTCATCAGCAACCTTATATACATTCTTGGAAGGGGCTGAATTTGGTGGCTTAAATCCTCTTAAGGACTAACTTGCAAAATTTTTCAGAAAATTAAAAAAACAAATATTAATTAAAAATCAGTTTGTCATTCTGCTTTCTTCAGTGCATAAATCATAGTAGCAAATGTGAAATTCTTCCTTAGGTCTGCTGCTCTGTCTGTAGTGTAATTGTCTTCCTTTTACACGTGATTTCTAGTTGTGTAGGAGCTTATATTAAAAGAAGAATTGCAAAGCTTTGTTTATCATAGCTGCAATAGATGGTGTCATACCCAAAGGAACTGTTTTAAGCCTCAGCAGATAAGTAGAAGACTAAGTGGAAGTAGAAATTTGGAATAATTTCTTACTTAGAACAATTATTATCTCCATATTTTGTTACAACTACAGGCAGGGATGTAGTACCTAATACTTTTTATACCTCATGTATCTTGTATTCTGTGAAGTAATAGATTTGTCTCTAGAATCACCAGTTCAGTGTCCAACTGTAATTGTAGCTGCTTTTCAAAAATATTGCAACTTGAATGACCATTTGCCTTTCTACTTGGAAGATACTGCCAATAAAAATTATAATAGTAAAAATCTGAATAGAGAGGGGAAATGGTGCTGCATTTCATTTAAATTCATCCTGCATACAGAAGATAAGATGTGAGGAAAGATTGCATCATTGTCAAAAAGAGAGAACTGGTTTAGAAACATGAGAAACTTGTAAGGAAAGTCTCCAGAAAAGCAAATGTGGAAGAAAAGTTCCTGTTTAGCTTTAAACATTGAATCTGAGCCTACCTATTCTCAGGTTATTGCTGTTTATTATTGAAGACCTCCTTTGATTTTTTTTCTTATTGTAAAAATTTGGCAGCAGGCCAGATTCATTCCTGTTCTCAGATAATTTGTAGTTGTGTTTTGGAATAATAATAAAAAAAAAAAAACACACACAAGAAAAAAATCACCTCTGTTTCTTCTTAGATACATCACATTTGTAACGGGCAACTGTTTGTAACTTCTGAAACTGTGTACCTGCAGTGTGCTCGCAGGACTCCTCATTATTTTGTTACTGATGTGCTGTGTGAACCAGGTATAAGTGTTTTGGTGCCATCAGTATGCAGATAAGGAGATCCTGCTCTTCATTCTCAAGAGCATTTTAATGACAGTATATTTGGTGACACAACAGTTGAATAAAATGTTACTCATATTCATTCCCCAAACAAGAGGGAAAAGCTTAAATTGGAGTCAGAAATAACTTGAGAGCAGTGATTTAAAGGGTGATTTTTTTTTTCCCCCTGTGCTACAAGTATTCATAACCAAATATGAATTAAATCCTTCGTATTTACTACCTGTTTTGAAATCAAGACTTCAGAGCTAACAATCCAAATAGCACCAGTAGGTAAAAATGTAGATTTTCATAGTAGTGGGGTGCCAGCACCTTTACTTAGATCAGTGAAGTGATATTTCTTCAAAACTGCAGTTTACCAGCTTCAGCATGTATGCATCCATATTCTTGAACTGATCCTAAAAGTTAACTGGATCCTGCAAAAGGTACAGCAGCCTGCAGTGGTATAATATCTATACAGCATGTTTGTAGGAATCTGTAATTAGTACTTTCTCTACTGTGTTGATTCCCAGTATGATTCCAGTTCTGAGTCCCCACTTTAGAAGATCTGGATTAGATAAAATGAGGTACACCAAAGTGAGTTTCTTTGCATTAAGAGCAATCAGTGAAGTTGATCAAATAACACTGTATGTAATGTGTATTCTAATACTTCTCTTTTCGCTTTTTTTTTTCCATTTAATCAAATTATGATCATGTAATGGTTTTGCTTTGTATATGCCAGCTTCCAGGGTACATCTGTGAGAAAATGAACAGCTTTGGCAGAGAAAAAGCAGTCAGGTTTTTCATCAGTGAAAAAATTCACTCTTTTAGGGAGCTCAGAGATCAATTATGTATTATGATGATGGGCCAACTTTTTAAAAATTATGCTGAAAAAATTTGCACTTCAATGTTTGCTTAGTTCTAGACAATAGCAACTAAACCCCAGATCAGTTCCTGTTGGTTGGCAGAAAGTCTTTTGCTTGAGCTGTTATTCACATTACTTGTAGATATTAGTGGAAAAGTTCTGGGTGATTGTAGATGCCTTTATTTTAAGTATTTATAACAAAATTAGATACCTCTAAAACACCAGACTTTTCTTGCATGTAGCCTTCTGTCCTTCTGTACACCCATATAATTATCCATACAATCTGTTTCACTTATAAGTGACTTATTTTCCATTATTAGAGCAGTAAAACTGCTGGACTCTTACTATTTCTGACCCTCTGTCCTGGGTTCTATCTCTGCAAGGTTAGATATCTAAGTACAGTATTTCTTATGGATTAAAAAAAAATAAAATCACATAGGTTGAAAGGGACTGTATAGAGATTTTGTAGTGTTCTTATCCATCTGTTCTATTAACAGTAATGGTCTCAGTGGCTGGTCTAGTTGATTTTTGAACATCTTCAAGGCTAGAGATTCTTCAGGCACTTATCTCAGTTTAAAAAAGCATAACAAAAAAAGTCCACACACAGAAAAGTGCCTAGAAAAACAACTCTCTTTATCATGGAGTTTTCTATGTTCTTGCATCTATTTGTTGCTGCTTACTATTGTGCACACCCTCAAGAGTAGTCCATTTCTATACTTGAAGACAGCAGTAGCTGAACAAAACAGGTCTATGGCACGTTCCTTGTGTGACTGTTAGACTTGTTAGCCATTTCAATAGGCCTTGAATATATGAAATCTGGGATTATTGGATTATTGGGCACCCCAGCACAGGCTGGACATGATATTTTTTATATGGTCTTACTTAGGTAGAATCAGTGTCCTACGTACTGACTGTGCTCTTACTAATTAATACAACCTAAAGTGGATTGTTAAAAGGGCATAGAGCTGATTTGTTGCCCCCCCCCCCCCAGGTGTTTTTCTGCAAAACTATTCTCTAGACTGTAAGTGCACAGCCTGTATTGCTGTACTGGGTTATTCTAGCCCATATCCAGGATTTTGTATTTTCTTCCATTGACCTTCATGAGGTTCCATTTGTCCAGTTAGCCTGGACCCTAGCTTCTAGTCAATTGACTGCTCTCCTATTTGATGTTATCCACAAACTTGCTGAGAGTATATTCTGCTCTATTGTCCATTTTAGTAATAAAGACAATAAACAGCATTGGCACCAATATCAGTCCACAAGGAAGCAAACCAGTTTGAAACACCAAAGCCACTGCAGTTACATAAAAGGTGCCATTTTGTACTTAAGCTGTTTTTAAAGGCTATGCTAAGGGCTCTATACTGTCACTGAAGTTTTCTTGGACCAAAGTACTCTTGGGAGTAATAGTCTTGGGGAAGAAAAACAAGAGCAAAGCTTGAACTAGTACAAGTCTCATCTGAAAAGAGTTAAACTGTGGCTGCCAACATGAGGAAGTTGATAAGAGTCTGAAGTATACGTGACAACTGTTTGAAAAGTCAATGAGAGAGATGCATACTTCACTAAAACAGTTCAGCTGCTTTCTCTGATTCCTAATTATTACTCTGGTCATCTAGAAGTTTAACTTTTTCTTTCTCCAGTTTCTTTTTGAGGGACTTAGCATCAGTATTTAAGAAGGGTAAAATAACAGAAAAACTATGTGTGTGAAACATGTTCAGAATATTTTATTCTGTCCTTCAGTGATAATTACTTCAGAATATATGAGCAAGAATAAAATGAGGAAAAGCATAGTCGTAGCATGCTCTTTAGCAGAAGTGTTATTGCCAGAAAAATATCCTGTGGGATTTCTTTGACGTCATTCATTTACAGAGCCACCTGGTATCACAGAATGGCCCAGGTTGGAAGAGGGACCTCAAGGATCATGAATCTCCAACCCCCCTGCCACAGGCAGGGCCACCAACCTCCCTATTTAGTACTAGACCAGGCTGCCCAGGGCCCCATCAAACCTGGCCTTGTACCTCCAGGGATGGGGCATCCACAACGTCTCTGGGCAGCCTGTTCCAGTACCTCACCACTCTCTCTGTAAAGAACTTCCCCCTGATATCCAACCTAAATCTTCCTTCTTTCAACTTAAAACCATTTCCCCTTGTCCTGCTGTTATCTACCCTTTCAGAGACTTGGCACCGCTCCTGTTTATAGGATCCCTTAGGGGCTGAAAGGCTGCAGTGAGGTCACCCCGCAGCCACCTTTTCTCCAGGCTGAACAAGCCCAGCTCGCTCAGCAGCTCCCTCAGCCTGTTTTCATAGGGGAGGTGCTCCAGCCCCCTGATCATCTTTGTGGCTCTCCTCTGGACCCTCTCCAACAGCTGTCTTTCTTGTACTGGGAGCTCCAGACCTGGACACAGTACTCCAGATGGGGCCTCACAAGGGCAGAGTAGAGAGGGACAATCACCTCCCTGTCCCTGCTGGCCATCCCTCTTCTAATGGAGCCCGGGATACCATTTCTTTCTGAGCTGAAAGAGCACACTGCTGGCTCATTTTAAGTTTTTCATCTACCAGGACCTCCAGGTCCTTCTCTGCAGGGCTGCTCTCAAGGACTGCTCCTCCTAGTCTGTGTATACACCTGGCATTCCTCCGGCCCAAGTGCAAAACTCTGCACTTTGCTGTTGAACCTCATTAGGTTTACCCAGGCCCGCTTTCAAGCCTATTGATGTCCTTCTGAATGGCATCCCTTCCTTCCACCGTGTTGACCACACCACTCAGCTTGGCGTCCTCAGCAAACTTGCTGAGAGTGCACTCAATTCCGTCATTGATAAAGATGTTAAAGAGCACCAGTCCCAAGACAGACCCCTGTGGGACACTGCTCGTTGCCGGCTTCCACCTGGACGTAGAGCCATTGATGACCACCCTGTCTGTGACCTTTTCAACCAGTTTTTTATCCATTGAGTGGTCTACCCATCAAATCCACATCCCTCCGATTTGGAGATGAGGATGTGGTGGGGGACCATGCCAAAGGCCTTGCTCAAGTCCAGGCAAATGACATCGGTTACCTTCCCTTTGTCCGCCAATGCCATCACTCCATCATAGGAGACCACCAGTTCGGTTAGGCATAACCTTCAGGACAAAGCATAACAAAAGGACAATCCTAAGTATTCTTGATTACAATCACGAGTCAGTAACGTGTGAACAGCGGTGTTAGCAAGTAGATTGGAGATCACACGTGGTCACAGTTAGGTGCCTTTTTTTGTCTCACTGTTGGTCAGCCACTCTATAGCATAATTGTGACGCTTTGGCCCTTTCTGTTTCAAACTGTCAGTTGAAGTCTAACATTCTTTGGTTAGAGGTGACTGTTCTCTAATTAGTAATTAGATTCAAGTAGCTCAAATAATCTTTCAAGTAGACGAATATTTGCCTTGGAATAAGCATTGTGTGTACTAGTAGTTAGCAGTCTTGGAATTTCTCAAACTGACCCATTCCCTCACCAGGATTTGAAATCATTTCTGATTTTTCTGAACTGCAGCTGAGATATTCATCATCTGATACAAAGCAAATTTGCAGTTATCTGTGCTGTGGTATTATTTAGTATAAGGAAAATTCCCTTATAATTTTATTACACTAAAATCAGTGTCGGAAGGCAATTCTGTAGTTTAGCATCCCTCACTAAAGATGCATTTTCTCCAGTCTACCTAGATAGTCCCAGGATAGTTTTTGCATCTCCTATGATCTTATCCTCTCAAGAATCTAGTTTCCCACTTCCTATTTATCAAGTTCTACTTCATGTGTCCCTTGTCTGTATTCTGGTAAAAGATAGCTGGTTCCGAGTAGTTTGTCCTACCAGCTTATGAGCCTGGACAGACTATGTCAAACTCAAATTGTGCAGTTTTCTTTGTGTTCTACTTGGTGTTCTGTCCTCTGAGTGGTCGCTAGCATCTGTCTGCTGTTGCTGTGTCACCTCTCATTCACCTCCTGATTTTTTGGAACTTTATTGAAAATGCTTGCTAAATGCAGATTTAATTAGTCAGAGCCTAAAATCGTTATAGGGATAGTTCATAGGCAGAGTCAGGAGTTACACAGAATATTCATAGTATTATATATCCATAGCAATAAGATCAAGGGAACTGATTAACTGTAGATCTGTCTTTGTCTAGTTTATTACTCTTTAAAAATGCAGTAAAAAATTAGTAATGCAGAAAATTTCTGATAACTTCTGGTTAAATTACATAGATGCAAAGCTGTTTCTCAATTTCTGGAAATATTTGATAAGCCATACAGGTAGTGGACTGTAAGAGAATTTATTTTTTGAGTGACAGCATATTGTGTACATTGATTGCATCAATCTCAATTTTTCTTCAATGTTTTCATTTCATAATAGTGGGAGGCTTCATAGATTTTGTGTAATGCTTATTCTATTTGTCCAATGTAAACAGTGTTCAGCGTCTTGATATTTTTGCAAAAGATTCCTTCTATGTTTTGGCCAAGAGAAGGTTGTCACCTGGGCTTGTTTTGTCTTCTGGTGTGATTTGCATAAGTTTGCCAGAGAAAGTTGCCTTCTTGTTAGGCAGCTGGCATGGGGTAGCATGGAGAGAAAGAGGAATGGTTGAGGAGTCCATTTGATATGTTTGATTAGTGTTCAATCCTTTTTACTTTTACATGGCTTCTTGACTCTCAATCAGCTATTGGTTACAGGAAGTTTACCTGTGATGTCTGTAAATTGAAAGGGGCAATAAATGCTTCCTCCTCACAAAACTTGGAGAATCTCAGTCACTACAATTGTTTCTACAGAGGAGAGTAGTGCAGACTTCTTTGTTTCACCTTTGTCAGCATGTGCACGTCAGAAAAATACAAGATTTTGGCTTGTAAAGTCCAAAGTCTGGAAGTATCTCTGCAGGGATAAAATAACGGCTTGCATCTCAGATTTCTTGTAACTTTAATTATTTGGTAAGAGCCTTGTTTCACCTCATTCCATGTTGTAGTCATTGTTCTGTAGGTAAACCCAAGCTACCCTTTTCTCTCTCCAGGTCTCCTGCAAGCGCAGAATCTCTTAACGCAACTACCTCAGCAAAGCCAAGCCAACCTCCTGCAGTCTCAGCCAAGCATCACCCTTGCCTCGCAGGTCAGCCTTATTTCTAGAGTTCATGGGTTTCTGAGGGATTTGAATCATTGCAAGAGAGTAAACCCATTGTATTTTAGTTACAGTAGCAAGTGCAGATCTACTATGGGTATAAATACAGTGATAGGATTGGATTTGTCTTTCTGGATAAATTCAGTATAGAATAGAATTACTCATAACTTCAGTTTTGTAACTTTCCACTTGCATGTGCTATATATATTTTTTTTGTTCCCATGGACTTAGTTTTTATTTTTAGCTGAAAGTTTTCATGTTTAGCATTTTGATTTAGTGGGACTAGAGGAGCATTTGATTTCTTGTAAGGTTTTCTTGGAAAACTCATACTTTTGTGAAATTCAGACAAACAAGGTGTGGGCTGCTCAAAAAGAGGATTACAGACTAGTATCTTTTTTTAGAGATTGCAGTGGTAATCTGTTCTAGCTGAGTTGTTTCACTATTAATGTCAAGTCACTGCCAGTCTTATTAGTTACTTAGTTATTCTGTGAAAGTGAAGATATTGTCAGAAATGCATTAAAGTCTTCTGTTAGATGTATGTTAAAATATTAAAGCTCTATGATTAAGCTCTCAGACAGTAAGAAAACCAATTCTAAGATCGCACGTGCCTGCAAATTTAATTTTGCTTCTCTCTGTGTTTTACTGTGCAGTTTAGTTACATGATTGCATGCTGTTTCTAAAATACTGTGTAACACCATACAGTATCTTCCTGCCTTGGTTACATGTTAGAAATTTTTAGTCTGTAATAAGATGCCCATGTCTATCAGAGTCTTAGAAAACTACATTTTCTATTATACCACCTATAGTACTTTTCATGCGCCATGCAGAAAATGAAATTTGTCTCACCTCTATAGTTCATACTTCGGTTAGCAGCATGACTCCACTAAAGATTATACTTGGATTTTAAAAAGTATCAAAGCCACTAAGACAAAGTAAATTATATAAAGGAGATGAAGTCAATAAAAACAGTGAAGTAATTATTCACTGTGTTTAGCATCAATTTAAAAATAATGGGGCACATACGTCTGCAGTCCTAGAAAGATCATACATGATCGTATTATTTCTCAAGTAATGGAATTATCGATGCTGACCTTCCTCTACCATCTGCTATGCATTGCACGATACTACTGCACTAAGCCAGGAGAAGAACAATAGCTATGTAAAGACTCAGCTATGTATGGAGTATTTATTTTAGAACAGCCATTTCTGCATCTTTGCAAGCTACTGTGGTGTTGCATAGACTTGAGAATGAATTGTGCTGAAGGAGCCTGTTGGAGTTGGATGTAGGATATAAAAGCTAATCAGCTGAACGGAATATAATTTAAGTAAAAGATTTGTCTCTGCATCTCAGGTTATCTATTGCATGTGAGAAGTTGGAGGTTTGTACCCAAAACATATTTTCAGTGTTTCTGCTGCACATATAACCTAAACTGTGCGTTATCATGTTTTAATGTATTTTGTTCACCTGTTGAGATTATGCTTTTTTTTTTTTTTTTTTTTTAACAAATTCTTACTGCTATATCTATTATGTTGATATTCAGGAAGAGTGAGCCTTGTGCTGACTTCCTGGAAGATTTGCCTTTTATGCAGAAGTAAAATAAGAACTAAAAGGGATTAATTTTTTTGCAGGTTGCCTTTACTTAATTTCTTATATCATCAGTGCTGTCACTCTTATTGTTGGAAGTATAAACAGAAGGGTTAGAGAGCGATGTATTTTTTTCCTTACTCAGATTGTTGGGTCACTCATGAGAGGTGGTATTAGAAGAAACTTGCTATGTGTGCTGCCCCTTTAAGTGCCCACTGTTCCAAGATTATACAGGAGAGTTCAAACTTTTGGGCTGATGTCAATCTGCCACTTCGTACAAGTAGTTTCTAAATGATTAAAATTGCATGAATACCTAGCTGTCTATAGCCAATAGAACTACATCAAGTAGGATTGTTCAGCCCTTCTTTGAGTGGCTTCTGTAGCAAATGAAAGTTGTTGGTTATCTGCTGCACTGAACATCTCTTAGGTTTCTTTAATGGGTTCTGTCGGAGCCTTTAAAAGACTGTCATATTGATACAGTTTTCTGAGTTGTGTTTGCTTGTTCTTGAGAAGAATGTAGATAAATTTAAAGAACTTGCAGATTGATGGAAATGTCAAATTCATGGATCTCTCACACAGAAACCTCTCATACTTTTTCTATGGTTATTTTTTGCTGGTTATTCTTTTAAGTCTGATTTTCATGTTTTCCTTGCCCTCTATCCTAATAGCCAGCAACCCCAACACGCACAATAGCAGCGACCCCCATTCAGCCACTTCCACAGAGCCAGTCAACACCAAAGCGAATAGACACTCCCAGCTTGGAGGAGCCCAGTGACCTTGAGGAGCTTGAGCAGTTTGCCAAGACTTTCAAACAAAGACGGATCAAACTTGGATTCACTCAGGTGAGACTGCGTACCTTAGTGCCTACCAGTGTGGAATCTGAGGTCTCATCTTTCAAGTCAGGAGGGAGACTACAATTCCACCTTTTCCTAGGAGTACCTTCTTAAGTAGGGTTATGCTCTGGCCTTTATGTAGGGGATTTCTAAGAAATAACAGAAAAAGCCATACATCCATCTTACATCCCTGTTGGTTTTAAAGCATAGCCATTTTCCCAGCAGGTACATGCATTTACCAGCTCCAGATGTCATTGCATGTGCACTATCCATTCTGTAGGATTTAAAATGAATGGGACAAAGCACTTTAAAGCTGCCTTCAGAAGTACAAAGTTCCAAAAAAATCCTACAGCACAATTAACTGCTCTGTATGCTTAAAAAAAAAGTATGTCACAACTGTGGAGTTGCTTTGGTTGTCAAAGGGTTTTTATCTCTCAAGCGTATTTTGCTATTAAACATCAATGATTTCTGTATTTAATGCTTTTGCTAAGGTTCCTAAACAAAACCTGAAAGGACTGTCACCTTTGAAGTTCTTTCCTTGCAGAGATGAACTGGAATTGTGTTTTTTTTTTTTTTTTTGTTTTGTTTAAAAGCTCAGAAATAGAGCTGAAGAAAAGTAATCTTGAATGTAGTGAAAATGGTTGAATGAGGAGTGCAATTAGAAGTACAATACGTTTCATTATTCTGTAGAAGGGAAATACCACCTTGGATGCAAGAGTTCTTTTGTATCAATATAAAAATGAAATATTTTACTACAGAATTAAAATACCTGTCCAGGTAAACAATTCATTCTATCAGGAGCCTGTGTTAAACACAGAAGTGTTTTGCCAGAAGAAATCCAAGTAGGTATTTAAAAGTCTGACTTCAGAGCAGCCAGTCCAGAATATTTGATTTGTCCACCCTTGGAATAAGTAAACCTATTCTAGCTGAAAGTATGTACTGAAGTCAGATTTATTTTTCTGGCAGAGTTTTAAATGTTTGAAAAATCAGGGTTCATAATGAAAGTTCCTGGCAGCATCTTAATTATAACTGAAGAACATAATGTTCCTAGTAAAATTAAGTGCGTTTTGCTGGCATGTGTGCCTCCTTCTTTTCCTTCTTTCCACTAGAGGGAGGTACAGAAAGGTAACAGTAATAGACACACATAAAAACTGGAATAAAGCAGAGCAGAATAGAGTAAAACACAATAGCTTCCCTACAGCCTGATTGAGGAGGTTTATGTAGATCTTTAGCTATTATGTTTAGTCTGTCCTACTGTGAAATGATTATAAAGGCTCAACTAAGACTTTTTAAGCTATGGATTAACCCTTCTTTTTTGACCCTGTTACGAATTTTTGTGGTCAGGAAAAGCGATCACAGCTACTCAAGCTTGCATTTGAGTATTTGCTTTTTAGCTTAAATATAGCAAACAGAACAAGCAATAACATCACATTTGATCATTCCTGTCCTACATTAAGTATATATGTATATATTTAGGCAATTATAATAACTTCTGTTTATTTGTGTGATTGGATAACTAGAGATCCCTATTACTTCATTTTCCTGTAGTTGGATAAGCAGACTGCCTTTCAGAGGATAAAATAAATTTATTTTCAGTAGCACTGTAAGTTTTTTCAAACCCAGCCCAGCGCTGTTTTTCACAGATTGTTTGCACAGCAAACTGATCACTTACTATATTCTACCTTCTGAGTAATATAAAAGGCACTGAATTTCAGCAGTGTCTTCCCCCAGAAGTGTCCATGGTAGATGTATTTATAGCCTGTTGTTTAACTGTTCTTCTTAAAAGTGTCTCTGACATGCAGAGTTATAGTGGAAGTATTGCATCTTGGTGTTACTGCAGTTATGGGACTAATTGCTCAGGACAGATTGAAGCTATGTGAACAAATACTTTAGACCTTGTTATTTTTACTCTCTACAAGATATTACCTTCTCTAGTCCATCTGAACTTCATAGAATCATAGAATGGCTTGGGTTGGAAGGGACTTTGAGGATCATAAAGTTTCAACTCCCCTGCCACAGGCAGAGTTGCCAGCCACTAGGTCAGATTGCCCAGGGCCGCATCCAATCTGGCCTTAAACTCTTCCAGGGTCGGGGTATCCACAGCTTCTTTGGGCAACCTGTTCCAGCACCTCACTGCTCTCTCAGTCCCCTGACAAATAATCTAAATTTCCCCTTCTGTAGTTTAAAACCATTCCCCTTTGTCCTATCAGTGTCTACAGACAAGCACACACAATGGTGATGTACCTTATAGTCTCATTTCATTACTAGAGTGTCATTCAGTCTACAACATAGATCAGACATCTCATTCATCCTCTGTTCCATTCAAACTTTCAGTAGCCCACTCCAGAATATAAAATTCTCATTCCTATTTGCAAATTTATTTGCCTACATCTGAAATGCTGCCCTGCCAGCTTTTGGTATTGAAAACTACTGACAAAGAAATGGTTAACTATTCATTTTAAATCATACAGGAAACATTAGTAAGAACAACATAGATATCAGAATTAAATTTGGTGGGGAACTGGAGCAAATTTCATAAATCTCTCTTCCAAGACATAGTACAGCTTATGTCTAAAATAGTTTGCATAGCCAGGTTTTATTCGTAAATTCACTAGAGCATCCAGGTTACTTCTCATGGTATGATTTGTGAGTTTTGAAATGCGCAGCATCGTGGGATACAAGTAGAGATTTCCTCAATTTTCCTTTTCTGTTTGAAGGGCTTACAAACCAATTGTTCTGGTTCCTCTTCGAAGGAGGAGTTTGTTTTCTTCATGCAGCCTGCACAATTTACTTACCAAAGGCTTTCTACCTTGCTTGTATGTGGCCACTCTGCATGCTGTTACTTTATTTGTGTCAAGCTGTGGTTGTGGATCTGACCTAAAGGAAGACAAGCAAGCTTTATGCACCGTCCAACTAACTCAGTCGCAATTAAACTCCACTAACTGTGCTAAAGCTCTTCAGTCTTTTCTTCTAGGCTTTTGTCTATCACCTTTTGCATTAAACAAACAAACAAACAAAAAACCTAAATTAAACTAATTTATAGCACATAGTAAGAAATTACTAAATTTTCTGAAAAGACAAGACCTTCATGCTGTAAAACAGAACATGAAAGCATGCTGTTTATAATGACCATGATCAAGAATGGATGTTTATCTTTTTTAAATGAGACTTTCAAAGCATGCAATACATGGAGGCAGTATACCTATAGTTGAGCAGAATGTTTGAAAGCTAGCTGAAACTGAGTTTTGAAAAACAATAACATGTAAAGAGGTGATCATCTGTCTGTTAATTTCATGGATAGCTTTTGGCAGATGGGTATTGGTAGTGAAGACTACCGTTAATCATTATTTGAAATGATTGAACTTTTTGTCTGCTTTGAAATGCATAGAAGTTTGATTTGAACCTCAGAAGATACTAAAAGTTCAGCTATGAGTATTTTTTCCATTTATTTAAATATGACTTAAGTTTGTAGACAAGCTGCATTCATCTCTTCAAGAGTGTTTTTCTGCTAATCTGAGGACATAAATTCACTACATTTCTGCTTATTTGAACTTTTCTTCGTTGATGTAGAATACATAGAGCCTTAAATCTGCAGCTCCCAAAGAGAGTTTGGCCTTTCCCTTTTTTTTTTTTTTTTTAAAGTACTAAGAGAAAAATTGCAAGTTAATATTATTCAGTGTAATGTTCTGATTAGTGGTAATGCTAAGAAGAAAAAGCATGAGGGATTTCCTGGAAAGAGTTACTTAGTTAAACTGACCGAGTGAAGTTTGAAAACATGGCATTTCTTTATCTTTCTTCACTTTAGCATGAATCTTTAGTGCTGAGCAAGTTTCTGTGAAACTGAATTCCGTGCAGTAGAGGAGTCACTAAATACTCAAGGATGTTGACAGGATTCCTTGCTTTGGAAGTACCTATGTTAGTGAATCCCTTTTTTCTCTTTCTTTGTCCAGGGTGATGTTGGGCTCGCTATGGGCAAACTCTATGGAAATGACTTCAGCCAAACTACCATCTCTCGCTTTGAAGCCTTGAACCTCAGCTTTAAGAACATGTGCAAGTTAAAGCCACTTCTGGAAAAGTGGCTCAATGATGCAGGTGAATGAGTCTGTGTATTTCTTCACCAGCCTACCAAAATCAGTAGGATTCTGAAAAACTCTGGAAAAAATGCTTCGTTGGTGCCCTTATGGTTTTATGAAGCCACTGATCTGTGTTCATGGGACAAAAAAGGGTGTAGAAATAAGTGTCCATTCTTCCCTGTTTGTGTGCCCACATATATCTGAAATAGTTCCACTGTGAACTTCTAGAATTGTGTTCTACAGTCAGCTGAATAATTGCATGGGGTGAGATGTAATGTGTGTCATGGTTTTCCTCCTTCATGTATGTTAATGCATATAACTTCTAATCTTCCTCTAGCTTTCTTTTTCAGATGTGTAATAAGAGAGTTGCATGCTTTGTTGTTTCAGTAAGCAGAGCTTATTGCATTCACCTCCTCCCACATCCCCTGTGTGCATTCTTTTCATCTCACTCCAAGAGTCCTTATGAGCACTCTCTTTCTCTCCATAAGAAGAGTTGTTAGGTTTTTTTTTTTCTTTCCAGAATGATTTTTTTTCTTGGGAGAAAGTTACTCATGATGTTAGTGTTACAGTGAAAAAAGGAAAAAGAAGAAAACCAAAAAACACCAGAAAATGGAGCTTGGATGGTGGTGCTAGGTGTTAGGATAGATAATGTTAGTGCTGTCAGCTTTTTTTCTTTTGAGTGTACAGTTGTGCATAGTATAAAACTGATGGATCTGCTAAACAGTTGGCCTGTTTATAGACAATTTGTGCCTTCCTATTTTTTATCAAGATGAAGAGAGCTTTATGCTATTACCTACAGTATTCCCTGAAATTTTGTAATTAACTGAATGCAGTGTTGAAATTTTTTTCTGCGTTGGAACAAGGAGGTGTCGTTCTGTTGTGCTTGAGAGGTGCAACTTTGGGTAATCTGGATCTGTGGTAGGAAACACAAAGAACTTCACACTGACTGCTCTACTCCACAGGACAGCGGTCCCCAAACAGCTGAGATGAGGGAATGTCATACTTTGCATTTCCTGCTAACCTGAAGAAATACTTGGATCTATAAAGAGAAGTTAAAGACTGTTAACAGTGCGGGGTTCGTTTGCAGCCTGGAAGTTAGGAACCACAGTCTTTGGCTCTCATTCAATTTCTTGAAAATCTTTGAAAGAAAGATTCAGGTGACTGTAAAGGTCATTCAGCTATTTTTGGGTAAAAGCAGGCAGCAGAAGCATACTAACGATCCCTTCCATTATGTTACATTGCAGTGTTAGAATTCACTGTTACAGAACTTGGTTTGTTCTGTGGGATTTTGAGGATGGAGAAGGGATCCAGCAGGTTTATGAGTACTGTTACTGAAAAAAATATAATCTAGAAAATACTATGGTGAATGTACTTGTCCATTTGAGCCTACGAGAGTGATGTTAAGCATTATGAACTATGTTGTCTACTTACCAGGCACAAACCCCAGTGCAGCAAGGGGTCTTCAGTGTTACTCAACCATAATCGGTCATTTTGATTGAGCTTCCTTTTGGAACCTGTCAGTTAGTTGTTTTGCACTTTCTTATGCAGAGTGGGGTAAAAGTGCATCTTCTCTTTGCTATTCTGTGGAGCCAGAGAGGATAGGATTAGCAGTTGACAACTGGAGACCTTCTAAAGCAAAGGAGGGGGAAACTGCTAGATATGTAGGCTTCTATCTGCTAAGATCTCCAGAGAAAAGAGGTTTAATACTATGAAGCTGGCTGGGAGAGCTGCTTCTTCCTCTACTGTATTGCAGAGTAGGTAAAAGAAATTTCAGTTTGCTCAGATCTTTTTTTTTTTTTTTTTTTTTTTGGCTTATTGCTGTGGCTTGTGAATATCAACTGCTGCATTTTTTCCTTAAACTGTAGTTGCAGTGTGAGAGTGTGGGTTGAAATGAGATAAGGGAGAAAGAAATTTTGTATAGGTAAAATAAAAGGGGTACTCTGGTAGAATACGGGAGCAAAGGCAGCACCCTCCCTTAACTTAACTCGTAGATTTTAAGTTTCAAGTACAGCAATTAATACATGTGATCTTCAGAAATCTCTGTATATCTGGAATAGATACAGAGTGGATTTTAGCATGCCTTGCACAGGTGAAGAACACTTACATTATAAGTTGCACTGCATTCAGATAAAATCTCTTTATTTGTATTAATTTATTTTTTTACAGAAAACCTCTCATCTGATTCAACTCTCTCCAGCCCAAGTGCCCTGAATTCTCCAGGGCAAGGAATCGAAGGCGTGAACCGTAGGAGGAAGAAACGCACCAGCATAGAGACCAACATACGTGTGGCCTTAGAGAAGAGTTTCCTGGAGGTCAGTGATGCTATTGTTCAGGTCAACCTATAAAGAAACAAAGAAGCTTTTGTTTAACGTTGCACGTGCTAGAATGAAGCCATTACCATACTATTTAGGAAAATGCTTGTACAAAACGAGGTAGATTCAAAGACTGTTCCAAGGAGCATGTGATCAGTATCTATTTTAATTTGAAAAATCAACAACAAACAAACATACATACAACTACCCCACCAAAATCTCATTGGTTCTTACAGTTCATTGACTCAGTGATTTTAGCAATCCATGGTGCTGAACATTAGCTCAAAGCTTGATATTGTGCACATCAAAAAGAATAAGACAGAATTACCTTTTCTGAGGATGAGTGAATGGGTAACAACATACATAACAAAATCTCAACATACATAACCTTCAGTTCTAAACTACCTTTGTGCAGCCGTATGTGCAGATGTATGTTCTATTCGTTTATGGGAGATGCTAAAAGAAAGCTTTCCAATCAATACGTAGAGTTCCTAGAAGGATAAACTTAGAAGTCAGATCCTTTCTCTCATGAAGATTCATGTGAGCTTTGTCTTCATCACCCATCTTTGAGGAATGTAGCTTACCATTGGTACAGATTTTCCTGTCACTTGGAAAATGTAGGGCAAAAGTACCTATTATGATCTCTCTCTAGAAAATGTACCACTGAGCAGATTCTGCATATAAATAGCCTATCCAGATTTCTGTCTAGTGAAGGAGAAGCTATAATGTAAAGCATATGAAGGTAACTTCTCTCCTTTCAAGTACTTGTTTCCTTTTCTTAGAACCAAAAGCCTACCTCGGAGGAGATCACCATGATAGCTGACCAGCTAAACATGGAGAAGGAGGTGATCCGCGTTTGGTTCTGTAACCGGCGCCAGAAGGAGAAAAGGATCAACCCACCCAGCAGTGGTGGAACCAGCAGCTCGCCCATCAAAGCAATTTTCCCTTGCCCAACCTCACTGGTAAGAATCAAGAATCTGTGTTGACAAAGACCTCTGGGAAAGAAAGTTCTGCTCTGCACTGTGACAATTGCACGTGCTACACCTTCTTTGTACAGCAGATTTGTTCTCACAAGTGTATTTTTTACTGGCATTTTAAATATCCTACTTGCATACTACAAAAGCGAGAGAATGCTTAAATATCAGGCACTAATCAGGTCTTCACTTCAGGCATTTTATTTAGCCAATTCATGACTAAGTATTCTGGCTAGGAAATTTGCATTTAGGTTGTTACTTTGGAAATATGCCCATGCTTATATCTGGATTTTCTCTTGACAAAACTGTTTTTTATAATATAATAGTAATAAAAAATGCTTAGCAGTTCTACCCCTCCTACCTTATTTTGGCTGCAGTGTAAGCAGGTGAGCAACAGTAAATCATATCATTTGAAGACTTAAGTCATAAAAGTCCAGTGTTAGTGTTGTCACTTTTATTCAGGAGTTATTATATCAAGAAGGCATGGAACAAAGGAAAAAAATAGCTAATACTCATGTAATTAATTTCCCAAACTTGTATTTACCTCAGGTAAACACAAACTTCATGAAAATATGAGTAACAAAACACTTGCATCAAGGTTCCTTCAGCTCCTTTGCTACCAATGTCCATGGAGGTCTGTTTTCATAAATAGAAACAGTAGCTATTAGATTTCATAGTAGCTATGCTAATAGGACTGTGGTGGAATTTATGTAGCCTGTAGTTGTCTTTTTGTAGTATTTATTCCACCTTCATCATTGTAGTAGCTAATATCTTCCAGTACTTCATTAAATCATTAATTTTGGTGATGTGTCATTCTTTCCCTTCATCCTTGTCTCAGGATGTGTGCATGCGACTTCTCATTTCAGGGGAAGGGATATGTTAACTGTACTTAGTCTTTTTATTTTTATTTTTTCCAGTTGGAAAGCAAGGCTACATGCCTTGCTACCAAAGCAGAACATAGTGAGGTTGGTTAAAGTGTGCAAGCATTCTTGGACTGCAACTTAAAAAATTTATGTAGGGAAATTTTCTTTTTAATTACCAATGGCCATTGTATATGAGAAATTGAAATGTTAACAACAGTATTCATTTTATCAGTGATATTTCACTAAAGCGTTTTTTGTAAGCTTCTCTTAAGCCTGTATTACCACTCAGATGGACATTCCTCCTCCCCCATCCCCTAGTCTTCACTGGCTATATGCTCTGTTGATTTCTTTTGTCAGCTCTGGAGACTGTGTACGTAGGATGATTGGACTCTGTTTGCTAATTTGGTTACAAATTAACCACATGAAGAATAATAATTAATTTTTAGTAGTATGTCTGGATAATCAATCTAGCTTCTACCCTAACTGCACAAGTGCTAGAGCTCCGTGGCAGGATTGGAGGGGAATGCTGGTTTGGATTGTAACCTCCTTTTGCATTGGCTTAAGTCAGTCACTGTAACCACAAGGGCTAACTTTATTAATTTTGGGTCATTCACTGCCCTGAAATATTGATTGTGACTTTGGCCTTAACTGTTCAGTGGACAGTTGACAGATGTGATGCGTAGGCTGCGTTAGTGGGAAGTGTACTGTATGTCTAGTTCTTCTTTATTTCATAGACTATTTGAGATGGACAGAAAGCTCTTAGACCTGTCCCAGTTGCCCCAGCCCTGTTTAAAATGCATAAAGTATTTGACTTCCTATAAGAGGATATGCAGCACGAGAAAGATTTCTCTCATAATGGACTTTGGTAAGAGACGGGAAAAGAGGAAGATTTTAGCCTGTATTCTTAGCTGTGTTCTCTTGGGCAATTTTGAAGTATTAATTTCTCTCATTGGTGTAAAGCAACCTTAAAATGTTTCTCTTAGACACTATTTCTTGTCCATAAAAAGTCCTTTTTTCTTCTTACATTTGCTTTTGTTTGTAAGTGTACTTCTACAGCCTTAGTTCTTATGGTGTATTCTCTCCACAGTATCTGCAGTTTATTTTGTAGGCTTGTACTGAGCTGTTAAATAAGCTAATGTCATTTGGATGTTTTAAGATTTAGAGAACATTCCTCTGACATAAGGGAACTTAGCAAAATAGAGCTCATATGTTGCTTGAACAAATGTGAAACGTTATGCTGTTTATCCATGTAAACACGTTACCCTAAATACCTTTGTTAATGCTGTGGCCTCTCAATCATTTTATCAGAGAAGGAGATGTGAAGCTGAAAAGATGTTTAAACAAAGGAAACACCTTAATAGGAACTTAATAAGAAACACATTAATAGTGTCTTTTGTAACTCTTTATGGCAGAGTGGCTCTATTAAGCAAGGTTCTGTCTTTGGCAGGAAGGGGTGGGTAGAGGGCCAACTTGCAGTCCTGAGACAGTATGGATATAACAGATATACCTCCCTTCAAATGCTGAATAATTAAGAGTAAAGATATTGCTGGTAATAAGAGTAGGTAGTATGGCTAGACCATTGAATGCTGAAGTAATGGATTAGAGGATCCCTTACCAGTTAGTTTATGTGCAGTATTTTCCCTGGTACTATCCTCAGCCGAGGATGAGAAGAAAGAAATGCAAGTCTAGTAGCTAACTGCTTTTGTCTTTTTAACAGTTGAGCAGTTGTATTCTTTTTCGACCTCCAGGTGGCAACCACGCCAAGCCTTGTGACTAGCAGTGCAGCTACTACCCTGACTGTCAATCCTGTGCTCCCTCTGACCAGTCCTGCTGTAACTAGTTTGTCAGTCACAGGTAAGGTGCATGCCATGACAGTTTCTTCACAGTACATTTATTTTTAGTTGTCAGGTAAATCATGATGTCAGACAAGTAATTAAGATTTTAGAGAGGTAAAGATTTTGTTGGATTTCTGGTATCCTTTATTGTAGTTATCTGGGAGAAATTTAGAACTCTCTGGGATCTACTGCCTGAGTTTTTGTATAAAGTACTGATTGGATTTTGATGCATGCAGTGCATAATGAGATGTGAAGAAGTTTCAGATGGATATCTATAATCTGCTGGGCTGAAACTGTAAAGCAGGGAAGAAAAATTGCCTTTATGATAGATAAAGAATCTTTGAGATGTTGTGGACTCATCTTTTGTATGTTGGTTCCAAGCATTCCTTTTCTCTCAACTTTAAACAAAGGCAGATTTGCCTTGCCACCATGTTAAACTCTATCATTTTCCCTTTTCAATTTATTCAGAAGGTCTTTCTTTATCTCGGTAGTAGTCACACAGGTGTCTCAGGGCATCTTGTCATTGTTCCTTGTTACTCCACTCTGAAACTTCAGTCTTTGTGACCATTTGGTTAACTTTCCTGGGGAAACAAACACAGGTGATATTGAAGTGAAAGGTGCTGCCTCCTATTGCTAGCTTCTAGTGTTCCTCTGCCTCCTCTTGAAGTGTCATTCTGTTGCAGACTGAGACCCAAACTCAGCAGAGCCAGACTTCTTGGTTCTAGAAGAATGTGTATTTATCTCCCTTTCGGTTGGATGTACAGTTCAGTTGAAGTGGTTTCTGCTCAGTTATATCTGGCTTTTGTAGTGATATAACCAGACTCAATCTTTTAGGCACAACAGAAACCACCTCCAACAACACAGCAACAGTGATTTCAACGGCACCTCCAGCTTCTTCAGCAGTGACATCACCCTCCCTGAGTCCTTCCCCTTCTGCCTCAGCCTCCATTTCAGAGGCATCCAGTGCCAGCGAGACCAGCACAACACAGACAACCTCCACTCCCTTGTCCTCCCCTCTTGGGACCAGCCAGGTGATGGTAACAGCATCAGGGTTGCAAACAGCAGCAGCAGCCGCATTACAAGGAGCTGCACAGTTGCCTGCAAATGCAAGTCTCGCTGCCATGGCTGCTGCAGCAGGACTAAACCCAGGCTTGATGGCATCCTCACAGTTTGCAGCTGGGTAAGGATGAATTTTTCACACCCTTACAGTTTAAGTGGCAGGAGAGGAAAGGAGAATTCTTGGAATAATTTGTGTGGTCTTTTATATATTGCAGTTCTCTGGTAGAGCTCATTTGGCAGTTTTAGTGTCTATTACCTGAAATCACAGAATCTCAGAATCACAGAATCAAATTCTGAAGGTTTGCTTATAGATGGTAGAGATACCATTCCCATCAGGATACACAAACATGGTTTCATTTTACAGATGAAAAAGCTGTGTTGTAATTTGCCAAGTCATCAATCCTACTGCTCAATTTGACTTAAGAGCTGCAGGTTATCAGAAATCATCAAATCGTCTCAAATGGAGAGTTGACCTAGGCCTACTTGTCACCTCTGCATTCATTTCTCCATCACAATCAAGAAGCTGTAAAAATGCATAATATGTGTTGAAGTTTTTGCTTTAAAAAACATTGCTCTGAGAGATGGCTCTTTGTTTCTTCAATTCCTCTTGATTGACATCTGTCTTATCTGAATCTAGAAGGTGCTGATAGCTATTTAACAAGTTACAGTTTCCCAAAAATACATTACAGGAATATTTTACAGCTATGATCAATGCAACTTGTAGTTACAGTGCCTGTACTTCAGACATATTGCTAACCACAGAGCTGAAAGGCAACATCTACTCAAGATACCGTCAAAGAAAAAAATGAAATAAGCTAATAACTAGATCGAGGCCTTAATCTTCTGTGTCCCTTCCTGCCATTTTTAAAAAAATATGATCGTGTAGTTCTAAACAGTGGTCACCTTTTCCTAAAAGTAACCCTCTTTCCCTTTGTCTTTGTTTCTTCCATGATCTTGCTTCCTGCAGAGGTGCCTTACTCAGTCTCAATCCAGGGACATTAGGTGGTGCTCTCAGCCCAGCCCTGATGAGCAACAGTACACTGGCAACTATTCAAGGTCAGTAAAGTTCTTCTTAATGCATCTCTGTTGTACTTCCTTAGCTTTGTTGTTCTCTACCAAAAAAAGGAATGCTGACCCTTCAGAACTGCACATAAGTGTTGTCAGACTAGAGGTTTTTCAAAATTCAAATGCCCAAATTCATTGTATGTATCACAGATTCAGGAGCAGGTACAACTTCAGAAAGTAGATTAGAATCATGTATAATCTCGTAGAGATTCACAGAAGGCCTTTAAGATACTGCGTGTGATCTGAAATTTATTTTCTTGTCTTTCCCCCATAGTTTTAGAGGCACGTGTGTCTCCAGCTGGTTGGAGAGATGCATTTTATAGCTCTTCTGACATAAGCTTGAGCAGTTTTTGCACTTTTTTGCACTGTTTTGAGATCTGTAGGAGAGCACTTCTGAGAAAGACTTGATCCTTTCTTCTTCTTCTCAAACGTCTTTTAAACAAGTGAAAAAAATCCTGCCCCTAAAACTCCTTACGTGGAAATTTAAATTAATAAATCCATATTTGGAGGAGTAAAGCTTTGTTTTGCAACTGCCATGCAGTCAAAAATTTCCAGTGACTTTAAAAAGTAAGATCTGTTCTCAATTCATAGTTTGTCATCTATGGGGGGAAAAAGAAAGTTGGTGCAGGTGCCTTAACATCCAGCTAACCTTGTGTATTCAAACATCTCGGGGACTATATGATCTCCCTTACAACCCCTACAATTCTGTGATTGATTCTGTGATCTTCTAAAGCAGCTTAACAAATCTTGTTTGCAGGGTCCAAGAAAGAACCGTTTCACAAAGGGTCACAGATAAATATATGAGATCATAATCTAAGGCAGACTGAACCCTATAGCCTTGTGAGAGTAAGCTGTAACCGCATTTATATGTTGTAATTTTGAAAGTTACTCTCAAGGTTACATGACCTTCATCTTGTGATAACTGTTGTTTCAAGTGAACACGCATCTCAACCCTTTCCAAGTTACCTGAGTGCACACATTTTTCTTTGACAGAAAACACAGAGCAGTGTTGCAGTAAAAGAGCTGAAGAAAAGCTTGATGGAATTAGGAACAGGTGACAGAAGCATTTTAATATTTGCAAGGTCTTACCCACCCTTCATAAGGATTTGTCATTTAAAAAAAAAGTTACGCATGATGACTGTCATTAGTTGTGTAGGGAGCATTCACATCAGAGAAGGAAAGTGCAGAGCCCTGTTGCTTTTAGGCACATTCTGCATTGTTGCTTACTACTGATGTTATCTCCTCCCTGCTTAATTTTCCATTTTTTAGCTCTTGCATCTAGTGGCTCTCTTCCAATAACATCACTGGATGCATCTGGAAACTTGGTGTTTGCCAATGCTGGAGGTACTCCTAACATCGTAACTGCCCCTCTGTTCCTGAACCCTCAGAACCTTTCTCTGCTCACCAGCAACCCAGTTAGCTTGGTCTCTGCAGCTGCAGCCTCCGCAGGGGCCTCTGGACCAGTCGCCAGCCTTCATGCCACCTCCACCTCAGCTGAGTCCATCCAGAACTCTCTCCTCACGGTGGCCTCTGCGAGCGGGGCCACATCCACCACCACTACTGCCTCCAAGGCACAGTGAGCTGGGCTGAGCTGTGCTGCCAGCAGCCTTTTTCACTGTGCAGTGGGATTGGCTGCCAGTGGGGTTTATGAACTGAAAAATGTGATGGTCATCCTCTCGCCGTGTTGCTGGGGACAAGGGAGAGAAGGAGAAATATTAAAAAAAAAAAACAACAACACAAAAAAACAACACAAAAAACAAAAGCAAAACAGGAAGGATTTAAAGCTGGGACAGACATTTGCCTAATTTTATAATAAACACTGTCTTTTCAGGATCGCTTCATGGATCGGAGAACTTTCTAACCAAAAATGTAAAAAAAACAAAAACAAAAAAACAACAAAAAAAAACACAAAACAAAACAAAACAACAAAAAAAAAAAACCAACACAAAAAAAGTGAAAGGACTACTTATCATTTCCAGCAGTCACAATGACAAGTTAAGGTGGGTTATCAGTTCAAACATAGGACGGGGATTTCTTGTTCCTTTTTGGTCTAAATATCTTTCTTTTTTAATTATCATTTTATTGGTCTGTTGTACAGGCCATTATGTCATACAAGGTGTTTATAATCGTATCAATCTTATTGGGGGTTCCTTTCTTAACTGGTACAATTTAGGCAGGCCTGTATTACTGGTGTATCTCTATTATTATTATTATGATTATTATTATTATTATTTTTATATATATAGTTTGGACGCATTTGTCTATTGCTCCTGGATTATTTTCAGCGAGCTCCCACACCGTGGGGGGAGGGTGGGAGGGTGGAGAGGAAGAATGAGCACAAAGAGACTTTCTGTCCTAATCTTCTGGGAACGTTTTGAACAGTTTCCTCATCCTTAAATTTGTCTGCTGTCTACTTAGAGGGGTCAGAAGGATTAATTTCCATCGCTTGTGCAGGAAGCTCAGTGTAGCGGTAGAGATGGTTGTGTGCAAAGATCCAGGCTGGTCTCTGCTCTTTGAGCAGAGGGAGGAATTAGTTGTGAACCACAGTTCTCCTTCTCTTAATTATTTAGACAAAATGGCCAAACTTTACACTTAGCTTCGTGTGCATGTTTCCTCTTTACTTCAGAGAGTGGAATTTAACCTCCTGAGTCTAGATTGTGTGGCATACTGATGGCTCTTCTGTCCTGTTGAATTGATTTTGCTCTTAAGAACGTACACAAATATTTTAAAGTCACTCAAGCTAATTGGAAGTATATGAAGCAGCATTTACCATCCTGGATTTCTACCAAATGAATTGGTACAGGATTTCAAAAGGCCTGTCTCTCTCTAATCATAGGTGCATTCTCCTTCGTTTACTTCTAATGTTTCCAACATTGCATTTGGGAGAATTTTCTAGGGAGGGGAAAAAAAAAAGCTTCTGGCTGCAAAACACTGAAACCAAAACTGTAAGAACAGAAGCTGCCATCTCTGATGCCAACACAAGAGAGTTGTCTCTGTTTTTGCACATACCTTGGTGATCTCGTGTAGTCTCTGAGCTGTGATGCTGCTAGCTATGTAGAAATGGCAATAAGCATCTCTGAGCGGAGCGTTGGGACTTACCTGCCACTGTAACTGTCTGATTGATTCTGATCCATTCAGCAAAGAATATTTATGTGGATGAGGAAGAGTAATGGACTGTACAGAAGTTAGATCTGTATATTCTTAAATATACAATCTAGTATCTGAACCAAAAAGACTTTTGAAAAGAGAAGACTGGATCACTGCAATGCAGTTCACTTTGAACTTCCATTCTGGATGGATTTAACAGTTTCTGCCGTGTGTTTAAAAGTAGATTTCTTTAAGCTAACAAGGGTATTAGAAGAGTTCCTTCCCCCCACCCCCTTTCCTGTTGTCACCAGAGTGTTCTGAAATAATGAACTAATGCAGCTTTGTTCATTGTGTTGATGATTCAGGGGGATCTTGGAGTTTCTCATCCAAGATCCAGATGGCAGCAACTTTAAACTCTACATGTGCTCTGGTTGGTGACCTAAGCATGTGGGATTTGCGTTTGCACTCAAGTGGCAGAATCCCTTATCTCTCCCCCCACTGCCTTGGTTTTGCTCTGTTCATCTCTAACTCTCCACCTTCCTGTGTTACTGAATATTTAAACCAGTTATCCCCGTAACTTCAAAACTAGTGAACTGCAAGCAGGGAAACTAACAAATGTCCGTCCACCGTTTCTAATGTGTTTTTGATTTTTTTATGTTTTATTTTTTTAAAACTAAGCTTGAACCAAAGTCAATTTCTAGCAAGCTGCTGTACTAATGGACTAGTTTGTATAAGTGCAGTTCAGATGCAGAGAGGCGATAGATGCTACTGACAATTTCTTTTTCATTTGTCTTTTGTTTTTATTAATTTTATATAAAAGTTGCTGCTTGTTTTTAATCTTTTTTTTTTTTTTTTTTGGTTGGTTGGTTGGTAATTTGTATTATCCTTGGGGCAGACTCTTAACTTGACTTTAATTTGTTTTCTTTTGTTTGATGTGTAAATAGAATGGCAATGTCAGGGGTTTGTTAATCCAACAGGTCCCACCCTCATCCCACCAGTATGACTAAAATTACATATTTTTTGGGTGTCTGATGTCTCTCTGACTTCAGGCTGCACAGAAGACTTTTAGGGCTATGAATAATACTGCATAAATGTAAATTTCCCACAGTAATAGGTTCGGAGCGGTAAAAGATACAGCTGGGTGAGCTTCAGGGAGGTAGGGAAGAAGTGGAAGAGGAGATGCTGGTACCCACTGTGTTGGTCTGGAGGCCATAGTGTGGACCACAGTTTCTACCAAAGGAGCACAAGCCCCATGGGACTTGTGTTCAGTGAAGTAAGAGGATGGGGAAAACTGCAGCTATCATGTTCATTCCTGAGTCTGAAAGTTCCTACTTACTTTCACACCTGTGCAAAAATACAATTAATCAGGAAGCTTTTTCATTAAAGAAGGGATACGTCGGTCTTTGCTCCGATGGATCTTCTATTCCCTAAAGATGTGGCAGGGTGGGGGGCATGGCTGTTGCATATATATAAGAAACACGAAGAAGGGTGGGCCTTAATCAGCATATCCTCTCTCCACAGTTCAAAGAAACTGTGCCATTAGCTGTCTGAATGAGTTTTCATGTCCCATTCTTGCTGGTTTGTGATTGGGAGAGGGTCTTGTTGAGTACATATCTGGAACACTAATGCAGCTTGGATGGTTTATTTATTATAAAAAATCTGCTTTTTTTCCTGACTACCTTTGCATTGGTCACATGGCTTTGGTGTGAGCACCTTAATACCCCCTTTCCCTCCTCCTCTCTACCCCATCACCCTCTCTGGGGCCCAGATTCCAGGGAATTTCTTAGCAAGCCTTTTTCTGAGAGAAACTGGAAACTCAGAATAGCCACATATCTGGAAAGGGCTTGATTTAGCTTGTGGAAGCTGGCACAATACTCAAGCAGCACATATCCCATGGCTTTACTCACCAGCGTGCTTTGGTTAAACCCCAAATTGATTTGCTTGGATGTATTTTCCTGTGACATCCCAATGACTGACCACTGATCCCAGTGCCTGCTTTTCATCCCTTGCAGTGCTTTGTCTTATGGCTGCTGGCAACCTCCAGTCTTTGGGTGAAAGACAGAAATCAGGTGCGTGACTTCAGGGCGTGAAGGGAAGGGGAGTGAGATCAAGTACTGGAATTTAGAAGAAGTTTATTTTTTAAATAATCATCTTGCTGACAGTAAAAGTTGTTGCGTCTGAAGAGACTAACAATTGTATAGAGACTCAGTAAATGGGATTTTTGTCTGAAGTTCACCGGTGTTTGAAATGGAGAATTATTGTCTCAGGAAGCACTGGGACTTGCATTGTTGCAAACTGGCTGACAGGCACAGAGCATACATGTTGCAAACAAAATGATTTTTTTTTCCTCTAGTTAGGCAAAATAGTGCCTCTGATTCCTATATAAGTGGATTTACATGTTGAATGGAGGTATTTTCTATGACATGCTCACGGTCCTAAGTTCTTCGTTTCTTTTTAGGGGAAGGTTTTCTCTAAGATTGTTTGTTTCTAGGATAGTTTCTAGCAGCGTGCTGGTATATTTGCTACTGTATTGACTTCTCAGCCAAGATCAGAAGAAATGTTAGTGTGTTAGAATATGTCTGATCACATCTTTTTTTCTGAGCTTGTGGCTCTGTATTTACAGATCTGTGGGTTGCTTTTCACATTTGCAAGCATGCCAAAGGACACGTGCAGGAAAAGAGAATGAAAAACTCTCTCTCATATAGCCAAGGACAAAAGCCACAAGATTTGCAGAGCCACAAATACAGATATGCCCTGAAGGTCTAGAAGAACTATTTAGGAAATGGTTTCAGGGTGAGCTGTTGTAAGCTGGTGATGAATTTTTTTTCTGTTAGAAAAATTTATTCCTGTTTGGCTTTAGAACAGCTGAACTCCTCAGAATCTGCTTGCCGCAGTCAGTGTAGAGTTATTCTTCGTGAACAGATCATAGGAAGTATACAGAGGTATTGCTGCTTACAAAGGTCACATCTGTCTACATCTCCTTAAGAGGATTTCTTGTGTTTCTGAGTTACTACTGTGTTTCTGTCTCGGTACATTTTATGATTTCCCTCTGTAGCTTTAAGATGGTATGTATGTGCATGCTCTCGTAGAATTGCTGAGGAGATAGCATGCTCGTTACATGCAGAACCACCTAGTTTGTTTTTAAGAGATTCTTTTTTTTTTGTCCATCCTATTGGCTAATGTCACTTGAACTCACTGTTTAGTTTTTCTTTGGGGAACTTGTGACATTGCACCACTGCTTTGGAAGATCCTCTGCTTCAGTAAGGAGTTGTTGAAAGTACACATTAAATTGGATTGCAAAAGTCATTTTGCCATGAATGAGAAATCTGTGCTCTGATGAACCTTCAAGGAAAACATGTTGAGAGTCAGTAGGGTTGTCATGTAGAAGTGTGCTGCTCTGTTGCTCAGTTTGAGTGCTAGTGAGGTTACTTTGCAAGAGAAAACTAAAGTGCAAGAACATTAGGAAGAAGACATACTCCGATGGCTTGAATTACAGACCTTTTAGAACACAAGAGGCTTCAAGTTTGCATTTTATCTTGAAATGAACAGGCTGACAAAGAATTCCAATGAAAACAGTGTAGACCCTGAAGTACTTGGAGTTGCAGCTTGCACCTTTTCGAGTTAATAAGGAGGATGCCAGTGTTAACCACAGTAGCTGTCTGCTGGTCCTAAAACCCAAGAACAAATGCTGTCTTGTAGCGTGTTAATTTTTCATTTGATGAAGAACAATGTATTGCCTCTATTTTGCTCCTTCTCTTATTTTACTTTAAATGCATGGTGAGCATCAGATCTAGACAAAAAATTTATACTTTCGATCATCTGAAATTCTTTTAGGATAATTAATTCCTTAAAAAAAAAAAAGAACCTCGGAAACAAACCTTTTTTGCTCAGGGGGTGGTAAAAGAATGGCTCTTACTAAAATGTGTTGGAGAAGATTCTCTATATGCATCCTCTGCAACAGTTTAAAATATAACCATATTACTTCTCTTGCTATTGTATCCTAATGCTTTGGTTTGAGATGATGGTCAGGTTTGTGAGCTTTGCAGTGTGCTTTGGCTCACTGCACATTTCTATGGAGCAACATTCTTTAAAACAAAAGTTTCCACTTCATTATAAATGGAGTACAGAATCTGCTACAGCTGGAACCATACCACAGACACTCTACAAAAGTATCCGAATCACCTTAAGTATCAATTGATGATTTCTTAAGTAAAAATTAACTTTATGAAATTCTTAGAGAGGCAGGTAGCTTCTCATGGCCGTTGGGTTGTCTTGGGCCATACAAAATAGGGTGTCTGGCCCAACTGTCCAGTGGTTTTAAACCAGAAGTGTAGGTCAGTGTATTACCAGGTTAACTGTATTAAGGATCCTAGTCCCATTCTGCCCCAAACGATTATGTGATGTTTATACACAGAGCATGAGTACATCTCATGGATACGCACCATGGATTGGCTAGGGCGGAGTGCTACCAAAGCTAACCTGCTGCTCCCCACTGGATTTCAGGTTGCCAGTTCTCACACAGCCAACTTAAAATGTTTTGTATTTTTGTAAGAATACCTCTTTTTATATCTCCCTCCCTTTCCAAAATATTAGAGCAATACAGGATTCAAGGTACAGAATGACAGAGGTTCTGCTCTTCTCAGTCATTAAATCTAACTCTTGTTGCTGCTCGTGAGTCTTTCTCTTTTTATGGCCAAGAGATCCCTTGAGTATTTAAAAGATTTTTGACATAGACTTTGTCTTAGAGGGTGCTGCAGCCCACGCCTTTTTTTATGTGAGTGGAGCTTATGTAGAGAGATGTTAGAGGGCTGTAGACTCATAAAATGATGCCGGACTGATATCAGACTGACTCATGGCTTGCAGTTCCTTAAAATATTCATATCTTTTGCTCCATGTCCAAACTGGGCATGGTTCCCTGTATGACAAAAGAAGTTGTTCCAGTGCTGTAGTGCTATTGGAGCAATGAAAAGAGGAGATTCCTGACCTTACATATCTTTGTGGTCAAACACGCATCAACACATGAAAAAGTACTCTATCTTTTTTGGTGTTTATATCTTCTTCACTCAACCTTCATTCTCCCACTTCAAATACACTCTTAGCGGGTACCTTCACTGAGCTGTTACCCCCATGGGATGCTGTTAGAAGGGCGTTAGGATGATTGCACTGGAATTACAAATGGTTTTACCTTGGGAGAAGGGCAGAGACACCTTTTAGCTGAGTAGACAAACACGGTCATGTTGTATCAGGTACTTCTTTTCTGACCAAATTCCAAATAACAAAGCAACCAGCGGGGCTGCTTTCGTTTGGTTTGCACTGCACAGCTAAGCACTGTCCTTCATTGGAATAATCTGGGCCCCTTCCCATCCTCTCCCTCCCTCCTTGTTCCCTTCCCTGTCTTTCCTCTGTGGAAGGTAGCACCATACAGCTCTGAGAACAATACGTGTGGGTAGCAGCTGGCTTCTGGCACCTTCATAAAATACCTCAGCATAGCTTAGCATTGTCGCAGAACTGGTTTTAAACTGAAAAAAATCAGAAGAGAAAAGCAAACTTTATAAATAGTTGAGATAATTCTAGCTGTAGAGTTTAGTTGAACTGATGTTTATTATGATTGATAAACATGATTATGCTGTATGTATTTGAGATCCTGTTTATAGCTTACAACTTTATAGGGTCGGGTGGGGGTGGGTGGATGTTGGGGGCAGAGAAGGGGGTTGACTGTGTTAGAAGGAAAATGTTTGCTCATGAATTTTTTTCCTTGTATCTGTCTTGCCAAAGGAAACATTTTGTCGCTCCTGGGTTTGGGATTGTTGTTTGGTTGGTTTATCTGTGGTCTAATCTGCAGCACGGCACGTGGTGGCATGCAGGTTACTGGTTGGGTTGCTGTTCAGGGTCCTTTCAAGTGTGCGCACACTTCCCTCCCTCTTGGCCCATCCTTACCCTTCGCTGGAATCTAAAGATAAGGCAATGTGTAGCGGGAGGCTTGGGGGAAAGAAGGTGGCTATATACTGGGTTAGACTCAACCAAGACGAAAATCCGTTCCAGTTAGTTGAGTTGCACCAGAGCTGAATTGGGTCCATTGTGTTTGACTTCGGGGAGGGCGAAGAATGGTTGTCACATCTTAATCTGTCTGGGAGAGCAAAAGTGAAACAGGTTCCTTTTATCCCCCTTGTCTTGTTACTGAATGTAGGGCTTGTAGTGCTTGATAATAGATGGAAAACTTTTTAAACACTTCCTTTTCTAATAGCAATGCTAATCTGTCTAGACCAAAAACTATGAAAGAAAAACCAAACTGAGAAGTGAAAGCTAACCTACTCCTAACACCTGGCTGGTGTGCCTGAACGGGTTGAAATACTGTGAGACTGTGGTGGGAGGGGGGCTTTGAGATTGGCTGGGAGAGGGAGCGGGTCGTTCTGCTGGCGTGTCTCGGCGTGGTGAGCGGTGTTACCTTGGGAGGGGTGTGTGGCCCTGCCATCCGCACCCCAAGGCTTCCCTTCAAGGCCTATGGCATAGGGGAAGAGGGGCGCGTGTGTGTGAGAGAGAGAGTGTGCATGCGTGTGTGCAAGCGTGCGGTGATGCGGAGAGGAGCTCGACTCCACTGGGGTGGGAGAATTCCCAGTGGCCTCGTAGGGAACCAAAGGCACTGATACGTCGTCAGCTCTGCTGTTTTCAGAGCGGGTAAGAGAAAAAGCTGGGTGGGTTTTTTTTTGTTGAGCTTGGGGTCACTGTCCCTTTCTGAAAGGACCTGATCTCTCGTGGGTACTCCCACCTTTTCTGCATAGAGTTGCTTTGGCTCTGTGAAGACGATCTGCGTGTGGAGCTTGCCCAGTGCTTCAGGTCTTAGGCTGATGGTGGGATACAGTCAGGGAAAACTGTTTCTGTCCTTTGAGTGAGGAAGCAGTGTAGTCTAAGGTCAGAGTCTGTTCAACAGCTTTTGCGTACGGCCCTCCTCTTAGGGGGGCCATGAAGTCTCCTTTCTTTGCTCCCCAAAGTAGCCTTGTACATGTCCATGTATCGTGCTATTGGGCTGAGTTGTTTTATCGGTGAGCTTGGTGAGCTCTTGTGAAGAAAGGGAGGGAGGAAGGGGGCGAGGCGGATTGTCCAGCCGCTCTTCCTCCAGACGCCAATCGGGTTGCAGAACTTCACTGAAAGCTTTACTAATAGAATTGTTGTTCTGACATTATGTAAAAGTGGTATTAATATTGTGTGACTTTTCAAAGAGCTAGTTAGATTTATAGGTAGGTAATAGGGATATTGAAGAAATGACTTCTCAAAGAAAAGAACACTTGGAACAAAAGAAGTGGAAAACAAGGTGTGCTTTAAGGAAAACAAATCTGAGGAAGGAAATGAAACAGCTTGTGGGAGGCGAGGGAAGACGATGCCCTTTGGCGTTCCTTTAGAGCTGCTGAGGCTCAGCCCCAGAACTGGAACATACCCCCTCTGCCTTATCTCATCTCTCTACCAAACAGGACATTGTCAAGTAGCTCAAACCAAAATGCGCTGATCTGTCTTAAAAACGGTTCGGTCTGCTGGTGGATGTCCTCCTGCAGAGCTTTACGTAAAACCATAAAATGCTTAACTCATCAAAGTAGCTTCCCCTGTCCTCACAAAATTCTCTTACCTACGGTAGGCCCCACTTCAGGATTCATATTGCCTTTGCTGAATTTTGTCGCAGCAGCTACTTAAGCCCTATTCCCTGAATGTGATAACGTTGTGTGCGGATGAAGCTGGCGTGTTGTGGTGCTATAGCAATCTGAAATTACCGAGCAGACGGAATCCAGTGACATTGGAAGCCGCGTGCCAAGGGGCAACCGATGGACATCACGCAACCCCCTTGAGAAATGGCCGAGAATGCGAAGGCGCCAGTCACAGTGTCCTGAGAACGAGGCAGTTGAGACAAAACCTTCAGTTCTTCCCCCATCCACCCTCCATCGGCCTCTGTGGCCCTGGTGCTGCCTGCCCTGAGCCGAGTGCGAGGGCAGAGCGCCATGCGGAAGAGGTGGAGCCGCCCCGCGCCCCAAGAAGTGCTGGGGAGCCGGGCAGGCCTCCCTTTGGCATGGGGAAGGGATCGCTGCCGAGCTGCCACAGCTGTTGGCAGGGGTGCAGCGGGCGGGGGGGACCCAGGCAGTACCTCTTTGTCCCGCCAGTGCCGTTGTTCCATTTCCTTCCTCTGTGGTAGTGTCTAAGGCTAGGTGTGAGTAGGTGTGGGGTGTTTATCCGCCACAGGTACAGGAGCTGTCGTATACCTCATTTCTAACTCGTAACCGAGTAACTTGCTTTAACTTTCTCCAAACCCTACAGAGTTGCCAAGTCTGCCCTCCCTCCTCTGACGAACACTGAACTCTGGCCTATAGCACCCCGTGACCTGCAGCCCGGGGAGCGACCCCCTTACGCCTCTGAATGTCGCTGCTTAAAGCTACTGCAAAGTGAGGGCAAATTGCAATTGTATCTTATTTCCTTTGGTTACAAGGGGTCCTCTTGATTAGTCTGTGAATCTCCGCCCCTCCCTCCACTCTTCCCGCCCGGGGCCGCACAAGGCCCGCAGGCCTCCGGCCCCGCTGCAGACACGCTACTCGCTTTTCGACATGACCAAAAAACCCCAAACCCAAGAAAAGTCTCCAAATGTTTGATTTTCTTCTTTATTATTTGACAATCCTGGATCCCCACCCCCCCACCCCGCTGTCCGCCTGGCCAGCAGCTGCCTCCCGATCCCGTTCCATCTTTATTTGAATGTAGTTCCCCTGCCCCCCGGGACAGAGAACCTTCATCAGGTCACGGTGGCCGCTATAAGCCGGGAGGGGGCGGTTTCTTTGTTTTGTTTTGTTCTTTTAAAATTTCCAGCCAAAACCAAAGATTTCCTAATGATTGTATAAACTCAAAACAAACAAACAAACCAAAGACAAAGGGCGTCTTCAGCGCCCAGCCCACCTGCGAGGCGCCCGGCGGCGGGGAAGGGGCTCGCCGGGAAGGGGCCTCACCGGTGGGTTGGGGGCTGAAGGCTTGGGCGCAGGATTGGCTGCTCTGCTGGGTGCTCGAACCCTCTGGGGGCTGGGTGACGTCGACTAATACACGCTGAGGTGCACTTCCGAGCTTTCCCCCCTCCCCCCACCCCCCCGGTCACTGCTTGGAAGAGGCTGTCCTGTTGTGAGAAATCCCTGAAAGAAGAAGAAGAAGCTTTTCATTTCTCCTCTAGCTCCTTTTTTCTATATTTCTTTTATTTTTGCAGCACCACTGTGCAACTATGCATTGTATTTCTCAACCTTTTATGCTAGGTAGATGCCTGTGACTTTTTAACTTTTTTGGGGGGGTTGCAAACGGAGGAACTTTTTACATGGATCTTTTTAATCTCAGTTGATTGGGGGGTGTTTGGTTCTAGGGTCATACAAGCTCTATCCCAAAGCAAAATCCAAATGTTAATATTATTAGCCTGATGCAGATACCAAAGATAATTTCTTTCCTGCAGAACCTTAGACTTGTGTATTAAGTACGATTACCCAGCACTTGCATTAGTCTAACCTCAGTAATTCCAAAGCTTAGATGTATATTTTGGTATATTTCTGGGATATTAAAAAATTGTCGTTTAAATTCTTGTTTGTTTCAGTGTAATGCTCTTAAAGTCATAGCATGGAGATAACTGAACTTGTCCTATTCTTAGTAGTTTGAAATAATAGTATTTTTGTATGTTTTGGGTGTGTCTATGTATGTATTAACATAACGGTTTTCACTGCCTAGGTGTTCATAAATAAATTAAAAAAAAAAAAACAAAAAACAAAAACGAAGGGTTTTTAAAGTGTACATAATGCTCCATGAAGAATTTCCACAGACCGCCAATTCGGATTGCATTTCACTGACGGCCGCTCCCAACTGGGATCCTTGCTTTCTTTTTAAAGAGACAGCATCTTCCTGTCGCCGCGCACCCATTAACCCGGGGCTCTTCCTCGGAGCAAAAGGTTCTTCACTGCTCTTAAGGGATGGGCCGAGGAGGAAGGAGCTCAAATGTTGCTTTTTTAAAAGCTATTTAATACGTTAGTTCGAAAACCAACCCTTTGTGTGAAGAAGGGCCCGTCCTTTGGAACCCTGCAATAGATCTCGGTGGTCAGAGAATGGCTGCAATGTCAGAGCAGCCACTTTTGCTTCTCTTCCAAAACAGAACAGACGTTCAGTCTTAACTCTCTGGCGCTTCCTCCTGCCCTCCCTCGAGCGCTGTGCCGGGACCTTCGGGTCAGCAGAGCTCAGGAAGAGCCCCCCCAGAGTGCCCGTACCCACTGTGCCCCACGCCTGAGCCTGAGGGGTTGGGTCCCATACATTTCAAACCTTGCTGGTTGCACGGAGGGTGAGGAGGAAGGCGAAGTGCTGTCTCTTTAAAGATGCCCTTTATTATTATAATTATTATAATTATTATAATTATTATTATTATTATTTTCCCAGTGGTTGCCTACAGATAGCTGTAGGCGGTGAGAGATTGTGTAGATTACGGTAAATCAGAATGAAAAGGTAGATTTTGTGTAGATGCATTTGTCTGCTGTAATTTTTTATATATATTAAACTTACTGTAATTGTACAGTTCATTTCTGTTGTAAACATCATTAAACCATTTTCCAAGTGTTTTAACATGTATGCACTTGTTTGTGTTCTGTCAATGTGGTGGGCTGGGGCAGTCCCCCTCCCCTGATGCATCTGCCCCAGCCCAGCATGGGCAGCCCGGGCTGCTGAGAGATTCTCTGCTTCAGCTCTGCTCCCTGTCTCTGCACTGTGCTGCAATAATGTTTGTTCTGCGGGGCACTCCCCTGGCTGCATTGCTGACAGGCGCTCACAGCACAGCCTTCAAATCCCTTCCTGGGGCTGCGGCACGAGGTGAACAATGCATCGAATGCTGGGGCTTGAGGTGCTGTCCCAGCATTGCCTCCCACATCCTCCCAGCTGATGCTGGGGAAACACCGACCCCAGCAGCTGGCCAAGGAGACCACATTGCCACCATGCAGCAGTGCACCATGCACACGTGGGTCTTTGACACTCACTTTATTAATTCATCAAAAACGCATTATGTTACTGATTTAACTACCGTTTTGGAATAATACCTGTATCGTCTTTTAAGAGTAACCGGATGAATTCAGCTGGTTTGGAACTGCATTTATATATTGGCTTTTATACAAAGAACCTGTTGCCCGAAAGTGATAGTTTTATTTTTTCCTGACACAGCCATCATTCCATAAACTCTTACAAAGGGAGGTGGCTGCAGCAGTGGTTGTAGGTGTTGCGAATAATGTGACAGGGCAGAAGCTCAACAGGTGCAGCCCTCTGCCACGTGGAAGGGGTGAGGTTCCCAGCCTTTCCAGCATTTCTCTCATACTCCGAGTCCGTTCTCATTGTCACTGCAGCGCTGCTGGCTTCTGCCTTCCCAGGCATCTCCTAGCCATTACCCGTCTGCCATCGCTTCGTCTTTTGTTGGAGCTCAGGTCTTGTTTGACATCGAAGAGCTGGCACCTTTCACTGCACTGACACCACATCACTTCTCACAGTTAAAGAAAAAAAAATTGTCCTCTGCTGCAGCAGTTTTTAAAAGGTAAATTTAAAGCGGAAGGCTGATTGTCAAATGGCGTGAAGATAAACACTGCAGGAAACAACAGCCCTATCGCTAACGAGTCCTTAAATGCTATGAGCCAGCAGCTGTGTGCTTGGTGTCCCCAGAAGGTGAGGAGGAGCTACAGAAACAGCTGCGTCAGGAGGTGGGGACTGGTCACGAATCTTGCAAAAAACAACCTAATAACTACTGGTGTGGGAAATAACTTTACAGGTATGTACACTTCAGAAGCTAAAGCTTGCGGTTATATTATTCCACAGGAGGAGAGAAGGAACCTCGGTGCACCAACCCAAGTAGATTGTTGCACTGAGGAAGTACACAGTGCTTGTTTTGTTTGGGATGAAAAAAGCTTTCCCTCTTCTCCCCCTTCCCTCCCCCCAAGCATGTGGGCATCCCTTGCCGCTGCCCGTCCCCACCGTGACTCCTGCTTAGCGGGGGGGCAGGGGCTGCATTTGGAGAGCATCATATGTGTCCTTGGTCGCTGCGCTGAGCCCCTGAGAAAGAGAGAAACAGAGGTGAAGATTGGGCTTGGTTCTCCAGAGGTGGCTGTCAGGTCAGGAAGAAGATGCTGGGGGTGGCAGAGCATCATTGTGGTTTTTGCTTCTTACAGAGGTTATTTTTTAACTCGTGAGCATTTCCTTGGTCTCTCTGTGGTGTCACTTACCTGGAAGCAGGATGCAGCCTGAGGAACTATTAGCAGTGCATGGCTGCAACAACTCATTCTGATTTACCGATCTTTAAAGTACACTTTAACTGCACATTATTGACTGTTAAGAGCCAACAAACTGTGAGCTCTGCTAAGACGTGAAATCCTGAACAGTATTCTCAGGACTTCTCCATAATAACTTGAAAGGGAAGGCAGGTGCGATGGAGGCTGCAGTTCAGCTGCAGCGATAGATAAAGGGGGCAGCTGTGGATGCGTTGCTTACCTGGTAAACAGCATCGTTCCCTTTTCCTCGCCGCCGCTGCTGCTTTGGGGAAGCAAAAGAAGCAGAGATCAGTGCTTTACCCTTTTCACCAAAAGAAAGAGAAGGCTGAGTGCCCCAATCCTGAACTGCTGATGCATTGAGGGAGAGCCCACTGGTGAGTGCCACCTGGGCTGGAGCCACCCCAGCCTGCTGCAAGGGCCATGGAAGGAGAGAATTTGCAAGGGAAGTTATTTTGATGTGATGATATTTTCCTGTCATACTGCTGTAATGCTGCTATTGCCCGATTCTCTGTAGGCCAGGAGGCGTGGCAGCATTCCTGCTGCTTTGTGGGCTGAGAGCACACCTGAAAATAAGTCCATGTGGTTTGAGTTGCTGCTACAGGTCAGCTGGTGCCTGAGTGACTGCCCACTCCTGAGACAGGGGCTGTATGTTCCTGTCTCTAACTCATGCTTTGCAGCTTCAAGGTGGGAACCCAGGATGGCCGAGCTTGCAGACGTGGAATGGAGGCTGTGTGCCAGGCCCATGGCTGGCCATAACCAGCCTGCAGCCATGGCCCCGGGAGCATTTCCTGCGTGGTGCAGATGACAGAGAGCAGTGCCCACCCCAGTTAACACTGCAGCAGGCTGTTGAAGGGTCACGTGCGTAGAATGAGGGAAGGCTTTGTTTCCCTCCTCACCCCGCTGGTAATAGAAACATTCATGAGTAAAACCAGGGTGAGACTGAATAAACTCACAGCTCACAAACCGAGCCTGAATATGGCAGATGGGCCTTTGGAACAATAAAAAAAAAAAAGCAGGAGGTGTTAAATATTGGTGTTGCTTCATCATTTTTCAAAGCTAAGCTTTCTCTTGAAATCCCCTTTTTTCTCTTCTCAGAGGGAAATCAAAGGTTACGTGTAAGACACTTTGACTCAAAATAGAACCTGTGTAGGTCACAGCAATTTTTCATTTTGCCATAAACAGCATACTGAGATGGTCTCTTTACAATACAGGCATCCCTCCCCCGGCAGCGAGCTCACTGAACTGAAGCTGTCCCCTTGTCACTATCCTTGGACACAACAGAGCTGTTCCCTTATAAATAACAGAGAAAATGTGCAGGGAGGGGAATGTTCCTCCAGTTCCCTGTCTGCAGACAACCGTGCAGTGCCTGCAGGTGTTGACTTGTGGCTATAGAGCAGAACAGACATGGTGGCCCACAGAGAGACATTGTGAAACTCCACCTCAGGGCTGCCCTGGAGGAAAGTAAGTGCTCAACAGTGCTGTGACCTGAGCTTTGCAGCCCTTGAAATCAGGCATTTCCTTCAGGTATTCCTCATTCATCCCGGAGGATGACCGAGGTCACTGTCAGAACTTTTCTGTGAAAAGTTGCAGTGTTTCCCCCTTGACATTACTCAGGCTCCTCAGGAACACCACAGCTGTGTATGGGCCATGTTTCTAATGCCAGTGGCACAAACATTGTTGTCCGATCCCCAACAGGCTTTCTGGCTGCTGTAACTGCAGCTTCATCTCTTTCTGCTGTACCTATCACACCGGGTACTACAGTAAATAGGTAAATGCCCTCAGCTGTAGGTGCCCTCACACAGGGTTGCTGCTCTGCAAGGGAGCAGCAGTGAGCAACACCCGCCCCCACTCCCATGAGGAGGGACTCACCTCTCCCTTCTTCCCAATCTCACTGTATGCGTCGCCCATCTTGTCCTTCTGCAGGGACTGCAAGGAAGAGGGGGAAGGTGTCAGCGTCACCAGAAAAGCTAACCCAGTCCCCGTGTGCCTGTGCTCCGCTCCTGCATGTCTGGGGCTGCCATGTACGACCCAGCCTCAGTGCAGAACTATGACCCCATCCGGAGAAGGGACAGTGGTGGTCTTGGCTGATGTGCAGGAAAGCGTAAGTGAGGCACCATCAGCTCTGCTCAGCAGCGCCACACTGTCTCCAACAATTTAAATGAAGAAAAATGACCGAGTCATTTAGCTACATTGGTGCCACGTACTGCACTGCACCAAAACTCTCTGAAGAAAACCTTTAAGCAGAGTTTACTCAAGAGACAAAACCCAACACGCTGCTGTGGCCCAGGGACAGGGCAGTCTTTAACACAGTAGCGTGAGAGGTAAGAGAGAGGGGCTCTCCCTCCCTCCATTCCACAGGCTCACAACCAGCACTGATCAGAGACTATGAATCAGCCATGGGAACCAAAGCTCACTTCTCAGCAAGCACTGAGCACCTGGATAGAACCAGGGTGAGATGTGAGCATTAGAGTTCGTGGCTCTGTCCTTCAGAGCACTGGCCACCACGTTTCACCAGAGTTAAGTCTATCAAGAGGTCCCTAAGCAGCCATCCCCAACCCCTAGTTCTCTACTCACAGTGTAAACGGTGTCGTGGGGGTTCTTTCTTCTCTGCTGTAAGAGAAAGGAAGAAAGTTGTCCACGTGTTGCACTGCTGCTGTCCCGCCACCCCTATGTGCCTATGGGTTTGCTCTAAGGCCCAGCTGCAGCTCCATGGACACAGCCAGTTGGGCCCAGCTCGCCTCCACCCGAAAGGCTCTGTTAAAACAACTTGTTTGCTAGACTAGTCATATGATTTTAATAACTGGAAAAAAATTCTTAACTCTGTTCTCTTGTCCTCTGTTCGACCCTCCCCAGCTGCCACCTGCAGGCACGCCCCACAGAAGGTTTCCCCTCCCTCTTCTTCTGAAGCTGCTGGGCTCTGCAGTAGCAGCAGTTGCTCCGGCTGCTGCTTGACGCTGTTGGTGCTTGCCCAGCAGCACCACATGCAGCGAGTGCTCACAAAACACTCATTTCCACCTCGCCTGCCCCGCATCCGCCTGGGCCGGGTGTCACTTCCAGCAGGGTGGCTGTGAGCTCTCAGCAAAGCGGTGGGGCACAGATCAAAGGAAAGGGGGAGGTTTACTTTTGTCCCTGTCTGTGAACTGGATTCAGAGAGTAGAGAGGGGGATGTGAAAGGAAGCTACCTCGTGTCTCCCGCCTTTCTCAAGGTCTGCGCCTCGCCTGGTGCCCAGCACATCGTATTCATCTCTGTGCCCACGGGACAGTTTCTGAAAAGAGAAAGGAAGAAGCAGTGGTGAATGTCACGATCATGAGAAAATATATAGAGCG